TTGTTTCAAAACGCCCCTTACAAAACAGGCGGTACGGGAATAGCCCAACTTTGTTTCAAAACGCCCCTCACAAAACACCCGGTACGGGAATAGCCCAACTTTGTTTCAAAACGCCCCTCACAAAACAGCCGGTACGGGAATAGCCCAACTTTGTTTCAAAACGCCCCTCACAAAACAGCCGGTACGGGAATAGCCCAACTTTGTTTTTTTTCCACTCATTTTAAAGTGAAGAAAAAATAAGAAAAATGTGCTATTCGAAAAAAGGACTATCATCTGTGATTTCTATCACAATCTTTGTTATTCTACTGGTAGAATGCCTAGAAAAGTGGCTAGAACAATGGGAAAAGTCAACTTTTGGTGTCAGGGGGGCAAAATCGAAACTGAAATCGGCTTTGGCTTGGGACTCATTCAACATGATGTGTGGGTGGAGAAAAAAATTTCAAAGGCCTTACTCCCAGTCCTGACACTCTTACTTTTAATTCATGGTGTTGTTTTCTCAGGGTTCTTGGTGGTAATATTTAATAAATAAATATATCGATTACCTTGTCTCCTAAGAAGTATTCTTTGTAAAAAAAATAATAGAACTTTATTGAGCAAAATCTCTCCGCTGGTAAGGGAAGAACTGAAAAAATGCAGACAACCTAGACGGTTGGCCACAAGTTTACATTTCTAAAATAATATTTAAATATGAATTATTCACTCCTATAAAAATGATGCCTTTTCACTTTACATAAGACCCCAAGCCCTCCCTCCCATATGTCCCTGTCAGTGGTCACAGCTCTGCACACCGAGTCCTGTGCAGTGCGGTCAATGGGTCCTACTTAACAGCCTCTGATATGTCATACCACACCATACCTCTTTATCAAAGTCTTGTTCCACTGGCGCCCGGACCTTGACGTTCACCAGCTCACCCACCACGCCAGCCTTGTCGCTGTCCGTCTTGCTGTACTTGAAGGCGTGCTCCAGGGCGGTTTTGCCAAGAGCGGGTGACCCACCAATCAGCGCTCCAGTCACAGGCGAGGTTCGAGAGCGGGCAAAGAACATGTCCTGGCAGATGACCTTTATGGCCTGAGAAAATTCCACACAAAGAGAAGGTAAAAAACAATTTTTCCATATTTTCTTAACTAGTGCAAACAGCAGATTAAAGTTAACCAAAAGCAAGTTGTATCAAGATCGCTGGTGCACCTGCGCTTAGCTTGTGACAAAAGTGCCAACAGATCAATATTGAAGTGAAGGCATTTCAGTCCTATACTACCGTCAAACATCAACTAGAAAGTTCACTGGTTCCCAAAGATGAACCATTCTGTGGCTCGATGAGCTCCTGAGATCACTTCAGCATGAACGCTTCATCAGTTCCTTCTTTTGCAACGTATTTGTCGCCCACAATCAGAGGCCACCACCTTACTGCTGTGTTGACATACTCACAAAAAAGGTCTAAGATCCCTCTACAGAGCGATGGGGTGTGGTGACTGTCTAAACGGTCATGGTCTCCCCAAAGTTTGAGAATACACTGTGCACTGAGTGTGAGTGTGCGCAGCATGGATTGCGTTACAGATTCCCATTGTTCAAGTCGATCTGACACTTTGCCATTTTTCTTTGATTGGACGGATTGATTGGACGGATTTCTAAATATCATTCAATTAATATTAAGTGGTTATATAACAATAAATTGCCTTGATGAATAGTGGGTGCAGGCAGGAAGCAAAAGAGTATTCTTGGCCATGGTGCCTTAAATAAGTTATGTTAACTATTCGATTAAAACAGCAGGGAAAGAATGCACAAATAATATATTAATTAAACTAGCTTAAATTAAAAGTAACTTCTAACTTAATTATAAATTAAAGACTAAATTTTTTGTTGACAGAAATCTTCACAATAACAACAGAGCAAAAACCTATTGAGTACCTTGTAGAATTCCCTCAAGAAGTGAGGGTTGGTGTCATCCGTCAGATCACCAATCTTGATGTGGGCCAGGCAGTGGGCAATCAGCATGATAAACTCCCCAACTGACTCCAGCCGCTCCCGCCGGACAAACAGGATGTTGGCAGCCCGCTGGTAGAAGAAGGAGCGGCGGTACATGTTGCGGTGGTAGTCGTTGTGCGGCAGCGACGAGGCCAGGAGGAGGGTGACGCCGGGCGTGGCGTTGGTCCGCTGCAGGAGGCGAATGACGAAGACGCCAAAGCGGTAGACCACGAACTGGCTGGGGGTGATGCTGTTGATGTCCAGGGGGTCAATGTCCTGCGACAGGAGCCACTGGGCGTCCTTGACATCGATGAAGGCGTCTGAGACGGCACCTGGAGGTTGGACACAACAAAAGAGAAATTCAAAAAAAGGTTGAACCAATGTCCATGGGGCTATCTGAAGGAAGATTGGAGACTAAATAAGTAGAGGCATGTGGCCTACTCGTTATGGTCTGTGACTCATGAATGACTGTGACTTTTGAGTTACGTTTTAATACTCCCATTGGGTGCTCTCTAGCCTGGAGGATAAATGGGTACCCAGTGCAGTGGTCGAGACCTCTAAGACCTTCACAAGACCACACAAGACCATTACAAGACCTCCAGTCTGAATTCAAGTCACAAGCTACTCAAATGAGCTGCAACAAAAGCATTCCTTTGTCACTGTTTACAATGTTACTTGTGACTGGATATGTGTCTGGTCTTGTGATGGTCTCGCTTACAACACTGATGGGTACCTGTGAGGAAGAGATAGCTGTTGATTTATGCTGGAAAATGGCAGCATCACGCTGTATACTCCCCCATAAAATTGATTCAGGTTTGAGAAAGTTTATGATTCTGGTGAGTGGGGATAAAAATGATGTCAAGATACTTTGATTGGGTTTCCGGATAAATAAGCATTTTCTATTATCTAGGCGAACAATTCAGTACTGCAATCCAATGACCACAGGTCATCGCATGTCAGTCATCAACTACATGTTATAATTTCTCAAGCCACAAGCTACTCAAATTTATCAGTTAAAGTCATTCCTTTGCTTAACTTAATTGTTACAGATTACCGAAGTGTGACGTCACTGTGAACCAGAAAGTGTAGTGCAAGCTAATGGGGTTTATGCGCTGGTTCACGCGCTCATGTCTTTTACACACTAATTGTACGAGTGACGTATTCACTTCGGTACTCTATTTCGATATTGGCAACCTGTCTTGTAACCAGACTTGTGACATGACTAACGATTTTGATTAACGAACTAACGATTTTTGAGTTTAATCAACGTTTTAAGTTAACATGTTCAATATTATAAGTCGGCTGTTTATTACACCGTTCATTTTTATTTTCATTTCATTTCTGCACTTTTTATATAAATATTTTGTTTGCTCCAAAAAGCGTTAATTATTTCTTAAGAGGTGAATATTGAAGGACCTGACCTTTGACCCCGGGTCTCTTGAGGGCATCGGTGCTGTTGACAATCTCCTCAATCTCTTGCAGGTCCCGGTAGAGCGGGGAGGCGAGCAGGGCATCGTAGATGGACTCGTCCACACCGGGGGGCAGCTTGGACCTTTCCATGGCCTCCTGCTCGCGCTGGGCCCAGTCGCTGGGAGCGTCCGGTGCCGTGGTGGAGTTGATGGTCTGGTTCAGATCCGAGGCACCTGCCCAGGGAAAAGTGTCCGGACTATGTTTAAAAAGTCTTGTTACGTTTGCGTCACGTAGTCTGTCTATTCAATTTGCTGATCAGATAACAACTTACTTTTCTCCTTGTGGAGGTACATGTAAGTCAATATGACTTTTTTTATACTAAAGCATACTTTAAGAAATTTGTTTTGGGTAATTTTTAACAGCGATCGTGCGCGTATATGAAATTGTGAGACTCGGACAGTATTCAGGTTGTCCTCGTTTAGAAGGCAATTGACCTTAAAATACGACAATGTCCCAATATGTTTACATGTTCACTCTGCAATGGGGGTTTGATGGATTTTATCCACCTTCTCCAATCTGGAAACTATTCATGTGGTCCTCAGTTTCAAAGTATGATGGATTCTACCCTACCCCACTATGGTGTTCAGCAAGTCCTCAGTTAGCAAGCACTGTACAAGTCCTCAGTTTGCAAGCATTGTACAATGACACCTACCCCAGATGGTGTTCAGCAAGTCCTCAGTTAGCAAGCACTGTACAAGTCCTCAGTTAGCGAGCATTGTACCATGGTACCTACCCTGCCTCTGGATGGTGTTCAGCAAGTCCTCAGTTAGCAAGCACTGTACAAGTCCTCAGTTAGCAAGCATTGTACCATGGTACCTACCCTGCCTCTGGATGGTATTCAGCAAGTCCTGGGTGCGTCTCTCATCCACCTCGGCCTGGCCACTCATCTCGCCCTTGATTCGCTCTGTCTCCTGCTCCTTCTTCTTCTTCCTCCGGGCCTCCAGTCGGGCCCGAGTTTTCTCCTGGTTCCTCTCCTGCTCTAGCCGCTGGGACTCCTCAAAGCGCTTCATGTTCTCCCGGTGCTCCGCCATCAGTTTCTGTGGAGAAGGTGTTATGAAGGCAACGAATTAACACGATTTATTTACATTCAAATGTGCTGTACAAAGTAGAAATAAAACCTACGGTGCAACGTGGTTGAGCTGAAGGTATGTGAAGGCAGCTCGGGCAGTGGCGAAATGACTCATATCTTCCCACACAGCACGGCCAGGGATTGTTATTTAATGTTTTCAGAGGCAGGAGAATACTGAGGAAAAGATCTCGTGGCATAGGAGACAACCAACAACAAACTTTCCTCACATAATTATAGCTAGGGCCAGGAATCAAACCCATCACCAAAGTAGTAAAGAGATGAGTGCTTTACGCACGGGCCAATCGGGCCACTAACACTCCAGGTTATACATCTTCATATCACATCTTCAAATCAAGGAAAACCTGGAATGCACTTTCAACGAAATGATGTACCAACACAGAGGCCATACTAACACTGATGAGACAATAATTCAGAGAAATCCACAGAAATGACATGGACAACAGACAGCCCAATCCACATGTCAACCCAGTCAAAGATCTGCACCTACAGGTATGGAGGATCCACATCTACAGGTATGGAGGATCTGCACCTACAGGTATGGAAGATCCACACCTACAGGTATGGAAGATCCACACCTACAGGATAGAAGATCCACACCTACAGGTATGGAGGCTGCCAAAAGCACTACTGCCCAGTATTGACTCTCTCAAATAATGAGACAAGAGACAACAGGATGCTGCAGCATTTTCAACCACTGAAAATATGCAAGAAATTAGGCTCTCGGTGTACATAATATAAGAACTGCATTTTTCTCTTCAAAGATATTTTCCAACACTCTTTTATATTAACAATTCATATCTCCACAACACAAAATTCCACAAGTCAGGATGGGATAAAATTCTCTACGTCTCTAGAGAGCGATTGTATCTCCCTCAAGCTCACAATTTTTCTAGGATACGGCATGTGAGACAATGCCATAAGAAAAAGCAAGATTGAATATTTAACTAAATGCCACACCAACACACTGCCCTGCAGTTGAGTCCTTTCACGTGTCCCTTCACAAGTCCAATCAAAAGTCTCCAAACAAGGATCAGTCATTTAAACTGGGTGAACACAGGACAGAGGACTGCTTATGTAAGAGTTCACCGAACAGCATGTGTAGTGGAGGGGGGCAGTCAGTCTGATCAGGCACAGAGTTTCACTGACCACGGCGGATTATCACCAGATATTTCTATCGCTAATATCGGGGAAGAGGGGACAGGCCTCGAGCAGGATTGCCCCCCCCCTGGCCCCCTTCGTTACTCCGCTGAGCTTGTGACTTGGCTGCCAAGTGGATTATTTGTGATGGACATCTGTGAGATTTTATGACAACACTGCCCTCTACCACGTATGCACAGAGCCGTCCACTCCTCATACCTCTTGGGCTTCCTTGTTGCCCTGCAGCTGCTGCAGCTCCAGCTGCAGCCGTCTCTCTTTCTCCTCCTTCTGCTCCTCCAGGGTCTTCTGCCGTTGCCCGTCGCGCTCTCGCTGTCGCTGCTCGTCACGCACCCGGTCCATCTCCAGCTCTGACTCCAAAGTCCTGAAATGAAGAGAAAAAGTTTGAAATCTTGTGGAGCTATGAGAAGGATTGGGGTGGCGTGTGAACACGGGCACAATCTGGGGTGAACCCACCTTATATCGAAATGACTCCCAAGTGACCTTAGGGTCAAGTCTGTCATCATGTACACACAGAACAAGTTATTGATTTGTGAACTACAACCGTCCCTCCAGTGCTGATCTCACATCCCAACAGTGTTGCATCTTGCCCGATCTTCAAGCTACCAGGATTAGAGATCTTTATCGCAATAGCATCATGCTTGCATGCAGGTGGTGCGCACCTGTTCAACACTGCTATTCAATAAACAGCGTATCGCAATTTGCCTGGTCAAGTTCAAGAGTGTGAAGGTAACTGTGGTGCCAACACAGTATTGGCGTCTACTTGGATTAATTGAGAGACTAATTACCCTTATGCTGCTGGGTCCAAATTAAAGTTGCATGACGAATTCCCGGGGGATTTTCAAGATTTTCCGATTTCAAAATTCTTCAAAAATTCATAACTTCATTTACTGGATGTTTACACCCACACGAATGACTGTCTGAAAGCTACTCCAGTCTGACAGGCAATATCTATTGACGCCTGAGTATTTTAGCCAGGCCTGCCGCCTTGTAAAGAGAGCCCAGATTGTGCGGTGTTACGTAATTTTCTTTTCCTCCAGAAACTAGCCCAGTGTGCCGCTGGCGTCTTTTCAAATGCGGCCAGATTAGCATGCAGCAATGTTGTATCGCTCATCGCTGGGACGTTGGAGCACTTTTGTCCCTGGTCATAATCTGCTTGCAACGAATGCCAAAAATAGTGGTATACTGTTTCAAAACAATGATTGATTACATGTACCTCCGCTATTGACAATTGAAAACAATTTGGCAATTCTCAGCAGCTCGGCCTTTTGTTCCGGGTACTGTCTTTTGTTACAAGGCCCAACTCCTTTGTCCGATTTCGGGCACCCCGGCGCTGCGCATAAACATACAGTCTCCGGTACCGGGGAACCCTGGCATGAAGTGATTATCTACTAGTCTCTGCCTTGAGAAAACAGAGTGTCCTTTTGCACATGCTTAGGCAAAAATGGCCCCCCCCATATACTACAACACAGATGTGGTACTTGACAATTTCTAACAAATGGTTTCCAGCATGACATCTACCAACTGCACAACTCAAGCTTGAGGAGAGGGTGTGGGGTGTACAGAAAGTGGACCATCTTACGCCATCTCTTTCTCCATCTTGCGCCGCCTCTCCTCGTCCCGCTTCCTCTTCTCCGCCTTGACGCGCTCGATCTCCGTGGTCACCTGGCTCATCTTCTGCTCGCGGAACTTCTGGGCATCCCGGGCTGCCTTCTCGGCTGCATCCGTGTACTGGTGAACCAGGGCCTGGAAAGGTTTCAAACAAATGAAGTTAAGTTAGCATTTAGATAACACCCTGTCAGAGCACAGATTTCTGGCTTTCTTGCCCTGGGGCTAATGTCGTGTCACTGCTTTGCAAAGAAAATGTCCTTTGCACTGTATTTAGCACCCCGAAGCTCTTGAAAACACCGTAGGCATATCAAAAAACAAAAACCTATAGATTCACCAACACACAAAAAGCTTGAGCTAGTTCGCAGCTTCAATCAGCGCTTCAGTCTGAACGATTAGTTTATTTCCCTTAAACCAGGGAAAGTAGCTTTAACCACTTCACAATCCGCATTGCGTCTCCTATGTTACATTTCTGAGACCAGTTAGGCATTTATAGCTTCTCTATTATGATTATTATTCAGTTTGCCATCAACCCAACATACTTGTGCATGAAATCGAAGCCTTATGGCTGGCCTTGCATGATCCAGCTTGACGTCCTAGTCCCCTAGTGGCTGTGACAAGCTACCTGCCTCCCAACTCCTATCTTTCCCGCTCACTGATTCACCACGTCCAAGGCTCTACTCACCTCTTCAGGGGAAAGGTCCCTCATGGCCTCGGCCAGCTCCTTGAGCTGTCTCTCCCTCATGGCCAGCCTGGCGTGGGCCTGCTTGACCTCTGTCTCCGGGAGGCAATCTTTGGCAGCCTGCTCCGTCCGCTGGGCCGTAACGTTGTCATACTCCTCCAGTTGTTTCTGCAGAGGGATTGATTTTTGTGTCATGCATTTCAACACACTTTGCGTTTTGCAGGATATAGCTGGATATGTTCCACAATCACATATTCTACTGTCAGTCACAAAAATTTAATGCGCAGTGCAACTCTTGGCAAGCTGATTATATCCAAATACTATGAACATAGCTATAAGCCTTTCTCCAGGGACTTATATAAGAGCAGACAATTTCCCTGAATTATCAATGCAAAGTACAAGTCTGAGCGAAGACCCTATATGTAGGAGATGTTGTGCCATGAATGCTAGCTGAATATATCAAAAGCTGAATAACTGGAATTTTTGTTTGAACCCCAACATGGAAATGCCACAGCGCCCTCACTATTGGCCATATGGCCAGTAGGTCCTCTTCCCTACCTGGTGCTGTTGCTGTAGTTTCTCTTTCCTCTCAGTCAGGTTGGCAGCCGACAGGGAGCCGGAGTTTGCCACCAGTTCCAGGAATTCCTTCTGCTGGGCATCGATCAGTGAGTCTCGCTCCTGCTGGCAGATTTCAGCCATCTTGGAACGGGCGTTGACAACGGCCGCCTCCTTCTCCCGGTCCATTTGCTCCTCCTGGGACACAGAACAGAAGGTTTTCACCAAATATAATTCAATCAATTTCTGTAAAGACAACGGTGTTAGCACTTAAACTTGAAGCCAAAGTCACTCTGGATGGTGAATCTGGTGCCTAACAAACTGAACTATCCAGCCCTAGGGGCTGTAAACAATTTACCCCTTTCCTTGTGAAAGTGTGAATGACTTGTGCTACTTTAATTTGTAGCAAACCCTTCCCTACCTGTTAAATGCTATATGTCATCAAGTCTTTGTCCAATTCAGGTGTTTTGTTGCAATTTTTCTCACCGAATGTGGCGTGATATCAAGAAACCAAACAATTGTAAAAAAAATACCGTTTGAGGTAACGTACAATGGTCAAACATTTCTATACAACTGGACTGTTTTAAGTGTAATTAAAAGTAAAAGACTTGGTCTATTCCTAGCAACTGTCTACTGTTTTACAAGTTAATGTATAAAATAAAATGATGCATTGGCTAATCAGCTCTGGAAAGAGAATAGTTGCCAGGAATTGGCAAGTCATAACAATGGCAAGGAAGCCCATTCAGTCCAGGTGTATGTGTACGTCTGACCGCATCTACATGGCCTCAATGCTCATGAAAACTTGCAAGGTACAGCCGCTCCAAACTATGCCTGATATGAGGAATGACAAACCGACAGATTTATCAGGTGACAAGAGGGACAGACAGACCTGTTGGACCTGCTCCTTCATGTGACGTTGCCGCAGCACTCGGTAGATGATGTTTTCAGCCTTTCCATTCTCCTCATCTTCCAATGATTCCACCAGAGCTTGATGCTCAGCACCCTTCAGCTGTACCAATCCACACATCACAATGATCAATCAAACATCCCATTGGTGCGGAAAACTCTCAGTCAATCAATTAGGGATCTCCTCGAGATTATTTTTGAATTATTGTGGAATTCATGGGTTCCTTGGCATTTTTCTGGCATAATTCCTTTTGGGGGTTGGGCCCCCTTTTGGAGATTCTCACAAATTCCTTTATGGCTTTGCTCGGGGTTTAGAGGATTGCTTTTTGGGAATTTCACTGGGATTCGTCTGAGATTCACTAGGGATTTCTTGGAACCTCGTGTGGGTTCCCTTTTTGGACATCACATAGATTCCTTGAGGATTCCTTGGAACTTCAGTGGGATTACGTGGGATAGGTATTTCCTATATCCATGGTTTGAGCTATGCGCTGAGTACAACTCATTCAGTCACACCAAGGCCCTTTCTGTAGGCACTGACAAATCTCTTGTCACAAATTCATGTAAATGCAAAGCACAGTGAGTACCTACTATGATGATAAAATGTACAATTCAAATCACTCGTCACATTCAAATTGAAGAGGTTAACACACAAGTTAACAAAGTGTGAAAATTCTTTCTCAAAAGGTTCGAGAAAGATTCTGCTGGGATCGAAACGTTAGACCCTCCATATTTTGTAATTTGTATTTTAGGTCGCTGTAGTAAGCAAGTGCTTTGTAGCAGTTTCGTATTACATATCTCTGAAAATGCAGTAATAACTACAAACCAACCAACCAACCAACCAACCAAACAAACAAAATAGGGCAGAGATGCAGAGGATGTTCCGAGTTCACTCGGCCGCACCCACCTGATTGTTGCTAAGTTGGTCTCTCTCGGCTCTCTGGCGCAGCACCTCCTGGCTCATTGTGGCCTGGTTCTTCTGCTGCAGTCGTTCCTGGTGCTGTCGCCGCTTCTGGGCGATGCGGTCAGCTAGGACCATCTTCTGTCGGTCCTTCTCCAGGTCCATGCTCTGGGACAGCTTCTCCATCTAGGAGCCCAAAGAATTGGATAAATACACCATTTGAAGCAGTTGTCAGAGTCTTTCTTCAAGTGCTTTGGGATGAAAGCCAAAACTGACCTCTTGACCTTAAATATAAATACTTCAAATTATATTTTCAAATCTTAGTTTACGATCTAGGAAAATTATGTGATGGGCTATCTTTTTTTTCAATTCTGATTTTTATTACGACAGTTGCTCATAATGTTCTTGAGTTCCTCAAGGTTTTGTTAATTCTTCTAAAAATCCTGAGGTAGGTTTTTCAGCTTCGTTCTACCGTTACGATCTTTTCACCTTTTTAACAAAGACATCCAAATACCAAAAAAAAAGCCACTCACATTCTTCTTGTGGTCATCAACCAGCTCCTTGCAGGCCTCCTCCGTCAGCGTCTTGCGCTTGACCTGCATCTCCTTCTCAAACTCCCTCTCCTGCCGGGCCAGCAGCTCCGTCTTCTGGTCCTCCAGCTGTTCCTCCACGGAGGTGGTGGCCGTGGCCAGCTCCGCGTCCAGGTCCCTGTTGAGCTGGTTGAGCTGGGCTTGCTGGGCCACATGGAGTCGGGCCTGACGCTCCTCTTGCTCTGCCTGTTATGCAGAAAAAAAAATGACAGATCAGTTTTATAGGTACAGTGAACCATCTCGCAGTTGGCAAAAGCAAAAAAATGTCTAATATGGCTCAAATGACTGCAATAACTCACAGAACCTGCCAGGATGACACCTGTTTCAAGCGGGCTTCAAGTTAATCTCGGTTGCATTTATTCCGTAGCCATTAACCAGGAACTACTGTTTTGGTTTGGTTGATAGAGGGCGCTAGACCAACTATCATTACAATGACTCTAATGAGTCTGGAGTTGTGGTGTCTGGCTGTAAGTCAACAGTAACTCATGATAGTAACAAGACCAATACGACATTTATTTCATGTGACCTCAACATCAGCAGAAAGACACGCATGTCTGTGTCACAAGAAGGCACAATTCAAAGCACGACTTGGTGACCATCAAAGTTGAGAATCTTACCAGGAGTTTGTTTCTTTCTTCCAAGGCCTCGTCTGCCATGACGTTGCTGTTGACTGTATCTATGGCAACAGCGCCCTCGTCCGTTCCCTTCAGTACCTGATGACAAAACAAAAGCAGCAGGAAAAATGAATGGCTCGTGAATGGTATATAAAAAACTCAGAAACTTCAATTAGTCTCCCACTAAAAATTACAACTTCCAACAAAAATGCAGATTTTCACAGGAGAAAAAGCATTGGCCTTATCATTTAAAAGACATCTTCGGTCTTAGAATCCCAAGGGCAAAAAAGCAGAGATAACAATACTTTTGAATACAAGCTGAAGAGAAACAAAACAATTTTTTCAAATAACCTTTTCAGCACCAGTCCTTTTTTTTATATGTATCCCAGACAGGCATTTAAGCTACAATTTTAGAAAACATTGATCAGATCTTCTCACTGAAGGCCAGTTTTTCCATTTCTCCCATCTCACCTGTTTCTTGGTGATGTGGTCCAGTTGCTTGGAGACTGCCTCCTCTGCCATCACCTCCTCCTTGAGACGTTTGCGGGCGGCCAGCTTGGCCAGGAGGTGGTCCCTCTGCTCCTGCCGGGAGGAGTCCATCTTACCCTGGACCTCGCCCACATCTTCCAGGTACTTGGCAATGATGGCCTCCACCTCAGCGTCGGACTTGTCTTCATTGGCCAGAATTTCCTTAGAAAGGAATAACAAAATTACACATTAATGTGGCATTAATGTCAAAGAGTACAAAGACAGGAATTTCTGGATAGTTTTAAGGTTGGGAAGCCTTTCACGGACTTGCACACGGATGCCCTGTATTATCTTCTTAATCCGCTGTTTAAAAAAAGTGGTGACCAATATTTCAACTATGCAATTGAGCTGTCCACAGTCAAACTGAAATTTCCAGTGTGAGGTGCTGCAAGGCATATCCTACGCTAGAAATTACAGCAGCTACACTCTCTTGAACTGTGTTCTGAAAATAGAGCTCACTCTCCAGATAACCGCCTTTTGGCCTTCTCCTTGAAATGCTTTTGCTGAAGAATTGTTGTTATTTCTTCATTTGTTTTCTTTGTTGTCTAATTACTGGTCCTTCTGCTGGGAGGGGCAAAAAGTAAGAGTAGGCGTCACAGACGCAGGGGGAAGGCAGGTGTCTCCAGGAGCCAAGTTGATGTACCTTGATAGCCTTCTCGTGTTCTCCTTGCTGCTGTTCACTGGCCAGGGACCGTGCCACTTCCATGGCAGCCTGCATGCTGCGTTGCTGGTCGGCCTCCATCTGCGACTCCACAGCTAATAAGGGCAAAAGAAACAGCAGCATTTAGAAATGAGTATTTCTGTTTCAGGGAGATAGTTTTACAAACGGCAGTGGCTTGATGTCTCATGGAGGGCCTGGTAATCTTATCCCGGGGGGATCTTCTTCAAATGTGAAATGACAGTGAATCATAAAATTATAGAATGGAGCCAAAACTAGAAGACATAATTATAGAATGGAGCCAAAACTAGAAGACATAAGGAAGACTGTGTCACACACTTAGCCCTAACCCCCTAGGGACCATTGAAATCATAAATAACATTATTTGGTTCAGCATGGTTAGGGTTAAGAGAGATGCCGCAAGGACCAAGAAGGCAGGACCTTCATTCTTGTGTTTTCACATTTTGCACCTCTCCAAACATCCTGTGTTCTGTCTTGGCATCTACTGGCCACAGATTCACCACTGCACTCACACACTATGACCAACACAGAATAGGCTTTGCTTTCCTTCTGTTTAACTCACACGATTGGATTCAATTTCTACTTGAGGTTCAGTTTTCAAAATTAAGCCATGCAACTTTTGCATACGTTTTTGATAGATGTTCTGTCTGGTCTAAAGGTGAACTGTTTGAAGTATGCCAACAAATCTTTTATAGGTGGGGACAAGTAAGTGATGACATCATTGCTTGTATCTGTGGATCTATCTTGAAGTTGGTAATTATATATGAAACTCTGGAGGCCAATGGCAGGCAGCTGTAACCAATTCCCACAGAGGCAGATGTGCGCTACTTTCAGACGAGGGCTAACATGAACCTCTACTGACATGCACTTTTCTCAAAGCATGACTGGTAATCGCTTTGCGAGGGCCTTACCTTGTACGTACTGCTTCTCTTCGTCAGTGCCGGGTTCGATGCCGTCCGGCGTCAGGTGCTTCTTGGAGTGACGCCGCTTGTTCAGACGTTCCTTCATCTTGTTCTTCAGGTTGCTGTTTCCACGGTTGACATCGTTTGTGTTCTGGGGACAAACATTTTGGAGCAGGTGGAGATCAGTCTCTCCAATACTTCTTCATTGTTTGGAAAATGTAATAACACGTCACAAAGGTAACGAGGCATATCAATTTAGGGAGGCATGTGGCCTAGTGGTTAGGGTTTGTAGCTTCTGATCATAGGGTCCGGGGTTCGAATCCAGCTGGTGGCAGCATGTTGTGATCCTTGGCAAGTCACTTTACCCCTATGTGCCGCTCTCCACCCAGGAGTAAATGGGTACCTGCTAGGGCAGATATGGTAGTTTAGCCGTTTGCGCCAAAATGGCAGCACCAGGCTAGTATACCCCCCCAGGGAGCTGCGATGGTTTCAGGAATGTTCAGATGACGTGTGAGTCCAATGTGCAGGGATAATGATAATACGGCGCCTCGGAATGGTTTGCTAGATAGATGGCACTTTACATGTGCTTGTTATTATTATTCTTATTCTATTAATTGAAAACTTCAGGCTGTCTTCACTTTATTGTAAGCAAGAAACATGTGCTGACAACAGATGAGCAAAGTACCAGTCAGTATCAAAGGCCGTTACATGATATTTCAGCTGGACTCCAGTTTTAACTTTGTCCACCCTTAGCTCAATTATATGTTTCAATGGTCTATCCGCCAGGCCCTTAATTTTTATGGACTAAAAGCCTCTATGAGTTAATCTAACCTGTTGGATGGCATCAACAACATCGGCTATCTTCTGCCTGTTGGCCAAGTTCAGCAGTCTCATCTTCTCCTCCATCTGCGCATCAAGACCGTTCCTCTTCTTGTTTAAGAACTGACAGGAGAAAACGGCAGCATAAATTTAGACAACAGGGGAATTTAGAATTCATTTCCCCAATCACAACCAAAACCACCAAATTCTCCCAACCCATACACAAACTGTCCTAACTGCTACCTGAATACCAAATTCTCCCACACTCTTCACCTTCCTGCATACATCCCTCCTACTGCTTTACCTCAAATACTGCCATATCCAATCACTGTTTTGTTTTAACCACTTCGCACCAGGGTGCCCTGTACTGGAGACACAGTGCTTGAACCATGAGGCCCCCGTGCCCCAAATCAGGACTTCCTTTTATAAAAAAAAGTTTCTGGGCGTTTTCAGAAAAGTTTACTTGCTGTCAGCAAAAATATTGGGCCATCGGCGAAGGTAATTCCATCATTGATGGGAAACAATGGGTTCACTGGACAGGAAAACTAGGTCTTTATTCATGGCCAGGGTGACCGAACTTGGAAACAAAAGACCGAGCTGCTGTAACTTGCCAATGAAGGTTCATACACTTTTAGTGCAGAGTGCTGGCCATTAGCAGAGGTAATCTGTCATTTAAATACAGCTTTTGCCCTTACCGAACATATATTTACATTTTAATAATCCGTCATTGTTTTGAAACAGTATCATTGTTTGCCACAGCGGATTATCTGCGTGGAGAAAAGCGCGCACTCCAGCAATTAGAAATACAAAACCGCTGAGTGCTCGTGGAATCAGGCCACATGGTGCAGTGTTCATTGTGCCGGTGTGTCTGACGAATGACCCAGTTCACCCTCATGGCCCATGCTCTCTGCATAGCAACACCAGCTGTCCAGTGTAGCAGCACACTAGGCTAAATTGCGGAAGAAAGAGGATATTATGCGACACCTACGGAGCTCTGGAAATGCCATCCGACTTCTTGAGATCCCGACATATTTCTCTCGGGATGACGACATCATAAACGCAAGATGTCAACATCCTGAGATAATTTATCACAGGATGACGACATCGTAAAATTTGGATGATGACATCCTGAAATAATTGAGCATGGGATGACGACATCGTAAAAGGGTAGACATCACACTTGCTGGATAGCTCTGGATGACAACATCCTGAGATAATAATTATCGTCATTATCTGAGGATGTCATCATCCAACTTTTACGAGGCCATCATCCCATGATAAATTATCTGAAGGTGGCATCATCCAACTTTTATGACATTGTCATCCCGTCATAAATCATCTTAGGATGTCAACATCTTGCCTTTATTATGTCATCATCTCGAGAAAAACATGTCGGGATGTCAACAAGTCGGATGGCACTTCCAGAGCTCCGTAGACACCACATAATTGGGCTCTTCATTGGGCAGCATACATGGCTGCAATACTTATGCGTCAATGGAGGTTGCCTGTCAGATGAAAGTCGACACAGGACTCTCATTCTTTTGGGTGTACACGTGCAAGTAAATGAAGAATTTGGACATGGGGGAAAAAAAGTGCCCGGCCCAGCAGCTTGATCATTGATAATGGCCCGGTGTGAAGTGGTTAATAGAAACACTGAACAATTTCCCCAACCCCTTTTTTCTCAACAAAACAGTAATTTTTCCCAACAGCTATATACATTTTCCCAACTACTGAATAAACAAGGAGTTCTACTCACTGCATAGACACTAAATTCTCCAACCTGCAATGCAAAACACTGACGAATTCTCCCAACATCAACACAAAAGTCTGAATTCTCCTAACAAACATACCATCACTAAATTCTCCCAACTGCTACAAAAAATGCTAAATTCTCCCAAACCTCTTCGTCTTCCTCAGCGTATCCCTTCTGCAGCTCGGCGATCAGTTGCTGCTGCTTCAGCATCAGCAACTGCAGCTCCTTGTTGGCTTCGTCCTCGTCCGTGGCCATCAGGTCAGGCACCAGCTCCTCACCCAGTCCTTCCTGCTTGGCCTCCTCCATGTGCTTGCTGAAAATGACAAAACCACCAGACAACAGTGTAATTGACTTCTCCAAAAGCAAGGTTAGGGGCAAATCAGAACTTGCTTTAATTTCCATCAGAGGACTCAGAAAGTTTTGTCACAGAAGTAAAAAAACTTGAATGTACGAGGTTGGAGATTCAGGTCTGGTAAAAAAGCAACGATTATCCCCTCCCAGTCACAAGTCAGCCTATTTCACCTGGAAGTCATGAGAAATTCAAATTGACTATGGTGGCAGTATTGCTCTTTCAATCTGCACTCTGTCAGTTTGGTCTTATTTGTGGTATGGCTTGCGACTGACATGACTGCATCGTTGGAGAAATCCAATGAAGTAAAGTCTATGTGCAGTTTCAATCGACGGTCAAGGGTGACAGTCACACAGATGAGTGCCTGTAACATCATCTTCTTGTGAACTGACTTTAAGTTATTAACCACTCCCTGCTAGGGATTCCGGATCCGGACACGTATGCTTTATATGTGTGGCTGGGTCTCCGGGCTCGGACAAAGGGAACAGGGCCTTGTAACAAAAGACCGTACTTGGAACAAAAGACCAGGCTGCTGGGAATTACCGACATTTTTTCACTCTCAAAAGTGGAGATAATCCAACCTTGTTTTGAAACCGTATACCAGGGTTTGGGGTATTTAGAGCAAGCGGATTACCACCGGGGACAAAAGTGCTCCACCACTGCAGCAATGAGCCACACAGCACCGCTGCATGCTAATCTGGCCCCTATTGAAAAGAGGTCAGCAGCACACTGAGCCAGGTTCGCGAACAAAAGAAAGTTATACAACACTGCACAATCTGGGCTCTTTTTACAAGGCTGCAGGCCTGGCTGAAATACTCAGGCGTCAATAGATTTATCTGTCAGGCTAGAGTGGCACCAGATAGTCCTTCACGTGTTTGTAAGTGTCCAGTATTAATGAAGATAGGAATTTTAAAGAATTTTGAAAACAAAAGAAATTAATAAATATCCCAGCCCAGCATCATCAACAGTGATAACTGCCCTGGCAGGAAGTGGTTAAAGTATAAAATCAAGACTCGGCAGAAGAGACCTCATATTACTCAAATCCTCTAAAACCACAAATCCTGTCCCAAGAACACAGGCCAATAAAAGGGGGTCAGTTCTCCCCTTTTCCGAAACTTACTTGTGCAGGTCTGACTTGGCCTGGGCCCGGCGCTTGGCCAGTTTCGTCTGCAGGGTCCTCAGCTGGGCTTGCTTGGAGGACTCAATGTCCTCTGCTACCTTGGCAGCCTGTGATTCAAATAATTTATAGATGGCCGATAAGACTGATCCTTCATCCATTTGTGACCAGCGCCCAATTTCACGGCGCTGCTTAGCACGTTTTTACACTAACAGAGGCTGCACGTATTTCAAGGATGCCATTAGCACAGGCAAAGGCATGCTAACCTAGGAAAAAATTTAACTTTAAACCTAACAATAAAAATGTCTATGTGCAGGCAACCGTTGGCACAAACACACTAAGCATCGCCATGAAATAGTGCTTAACCACTCGGTGCCAGGGTTCCTGGTACCGGAGACCTTAGCCGTATAGCAATGGCCGGGGTGCCCGAAATCAGAACTGGGCCTTTATTCATGGCCAGGGTGACCGAACTCCTAACTAAAGACTGAGCTGCTGGGACTTGTCAATCAAGATTCATATGCTGTCAGCACAGAGTGCTGGCATTAGCGAAGGTAATCCGTCATTGTTTTGAAACAGTACCATTGTTTGCCGCCGCCAGCGCCCCGGGTTTATCAGCGGGGACAAAAGCACTCCAGCGATACAATACCACTGCGTGCTCATGGAATCAGGCCGCATTATTAAAGACAACACCACCATCCAGCAACGAACTGGGCCAATTTCCGGAACAAAGAAGAAATTCTGCAACACTGCACAATGGGGGCTCTTTACTGGGCAGAAGGTGTGGCTGCAATACTCATGCGTCAATGGAGGTTGCCTGTCAGATTAGACTAGCCACCAGACAGTCATTTGTTGGGTGTATGCATCCAGTATTAAATGAAGATATGAATTTTTGAAGGATTTTGAAAATGGAAAATTATGACAAAACGCCCAGCAACGGGTCCTGCATGCACAAACTCCACCCGGAATGGTGTGATTAAGGTTAACAGAAAATCTTTCTGCTTAAGTTAGCGTGATTCTGTGCCAACCGTGAAGAAACTCCAAGGAATTGGGCTTAGTTCTGTATGCATAGGGTGGGACGACTATATTACTAGTTTCCTGCTGAAAAGTGTCCAATTTGGATGGATGTGCAAAAGGTTTGAACACGACAGAGAATGTATCGTTCAGCCATCGCTCACCGAATCCACAAACGCCTGCATGATCTTGGCTTTCTCCTCCTCACTGGCTGCACTCCGCAGCTTCACCTTCAAGTCTTCCTGCATCTGCTTCAAAGTTGCTTCTTTCTTGGCCTCCGATTCCTGGGGTGAGAGAAAAGAAAAATCAATCTCGAGAGAAAAAAAACACCACTGTCCCTGATTTGACAACTCATTAACTTCCAACTTTCTCAATGAGTGTGTTACCCTTGTGCCCACTGAAGATTTCTTGGGTCTGTCTGGAAGTCACAGACCTTCAATTCAACAATACATGCCAATCTAAACTCAATTTAAATACATGAACGGATTCAATCACCAAAATGATTTAAACTGAATGTCAGGACTGAAAACTGGTCTACTTTGTTAAATCACATAAAACACTAGTTTACTAAATTCAAATTACAAAACAGGCATTTCAGTAATTCTGCAGATAAAAGTCTTCTGCAGAAATAACTTTCAATCGTAGATTTTTCTAGATAGAGCATCGGAGCTAGTCGGAATCTCTGCTTTATAGCCATAACTATGGTCGCAACAAATGGTTTCTTTTTGATTTCTTTCGAAAAGTTGAGGGCATCCAAACCAATTAGGCCAATTTATTGGATGACTTTCAAAGCTTTGTGACTCCAACTGGTCTGTTTGAACCCTAGGAAAGCCCTGATTGGCTGACCTGCACCACCGCATTGATCTCCTTGATCTCGCTCTCCCGGAGACTGCTCTCCAGCTTGACGGCTTCCAGGGTCTGCTTCTCGGACAGCGACTTGGCCATGGCATGCTTGTCGTCGTCAGTCAGGGAGATGAGATTGTTCCTCACCACCAGATTGCTGCGGATGTCACGCGAGCTTTGCACTGGACAGGGAAAAATGGAAACAACCTCAGCATTTTGTCTACAGAAATTGCTCCAATTTATAAAATTGCTCACGGGCGGATTGGTGGAATGTAAAACGATTCAGTAAAAGCAACTAATGCTTCAATTTGAAATGGACAGGCACAAAAGAATCTTACAGTATGGAAATCAACTGAGGCTTTGCTTGGAAGCCATCTCACATGGCAGTTCTTTTGCTCCACAGGGACACTTTCTTTGTGCATACCCTGTTGAACAAGAGCTTTGGCCTGCAAGATGGCAGCCATGCAAAGCCTCTGCAGGAACTGTCAATATTCTGCACGCACATCATGTCCATTATTACCACGATGCCAAAATGAGAGTTCCATCAACATATGAAATAGCTCAACTTGTTCTCCAAAATGGAAACTGAACCAGAGAAGGTCACAAATATCTGTCACAAGCTCAAATTTGTGCAGGTGGAAGTGATTCAGCCACTTACTAGACACTTCTGAACGTGCTGGCACGCCTAGCGAAGCAGCCGCTCGCACCGGCACAGCCAGGGACACGCCGCCCGGCTGCTGGGGCACCTGCAGACTCTCTGTCTGCACCACGCTCAGGTTGTACTGGTCACCTTGGACGACATTACGACTGGATGACGCGACCACCTTGCCGTACTGAAAAGAAGAAAGGGAATCAGGGATGACACGTTTGTTTATGTATTGCCGAGAGTGTGCGGCAAAAACTCTGAAAGAGAGTTTGAACAAACCTGGATTTTAGAATGCATCAAATGAGAATCTCCAGACACTGCAACTATGTTTGAGGTTTAGAAAGTACACTGCTGCCACCATTCCCAATAACTGTGTGACTTCCTGACGTTTGCATTAAAAAGTGATGTGATGCCAATTTTGAGGAAACTGCTCAAGGAAATGCACTAAAATATAGCGGTAATTCCATGACTAGTCATCAAATAAATCGTGAGTCTGTCTCATTTTTGTAATACATGTAATGTAAATGTCTCAATCTTGCGTCTGATCTCCAGTCTGGTCTTGTATTTGGTCCTGTGTTTTAGTCTCGTGGTTGTTCTTATGTTTGGGTCTCCTTGTCTGGTCCTGTGTTTGGTCTTTTGCCTGGTCCCTTGTGGTGCTTCTTGTCTGGTCTCCTGTCTGGATAATCATTTGTTGGATTGCCTCTAATATTTGGGTATATATGTGTTCCTAATTTATACGGGTGTTGTATATGCCCTGTTCTAATTTCATTTCTATAGATATATTATTTTCAATTTCATATTATACTTTACACTTGTAGTATTTTAATCTTAAATTCTTTTTAATCTGTCACATATAATGTCATATAATGAGTAATAATGTCAATGGAAAGACCACATGCAATTTGACCTTTGGGTCTTGATTTGTGGTTTCAATAAAATGAATGAATGAAGTCTGAAATGCAGTTGAGGACTGTGTATACTAGTTCATTAAAAAGCCATGATCCATTCCGCGTTTAATTCTGACGATTGTACACAGGTGATTAAGGGCTGAATGTTAAATTTAAATTTGGATACCTGTGGAAACCGTCAACCTCACTTTAAAAACAGCCTTTACATCCAGCTTTTTTGCACTGAAGTCATTGCCACATCTAATTGCTATCCACGTTTAACTTCTGACCACAGAAAGAAGTCAGAAGGTAGTGAAATCAGTTGGGCAACGAAATCAACCTGTGCTTCTGTGTTGTTTGAAAGAATCAACCCACAAGTCCCTGTACCACCCCACAGTGCCCTGCCTTTAATTTCCTATCACTCCCCCCAAATGTCCTTAACCCCTTCACGACAGGATTACTTTTACCGTGACTGCTGGGCTGTGGTATGCCATGAATGGAGGGCTATAAATACAATGTAACATAATGTAACACACTTGGTGTAGGGCATCATGAAAATATGCACAGCGTGCCATCTTTCTGATCCTCATCACCATGCAAATACAAAAACACTGTAAGGGGCCTTATCACAGACAAATGAAGTCGGGGACTCCAAACTAACGTACATGCATCTTGGTCTCGCCTCCCTCCCCGCCGGCGATGCCTTGCAGCAGCTCAGCCGACAGGGTGAAGTGTGAGCCTTTCTCCAGCATGGCGATGATCTGCCGCAATAGAGGGATGATTTCCCGGCTGGACTGCTCCGTCACGGTGCTGTCGCCGTACACGCCCGTCATGGTGGCATCATAGTCGCCGGCCAAGATGACCGCATTAGACAGAACCGCCTGTCAGGTGAATAACATGTACCTCAGTAATCATACGTTTCGCTCAGAATTGTTGCCAAGTCAGTGCAAGTCCTCACAAGTATATGAAAGTCCTCACAAGTATATGAAAGTCCTCACAAGTATATGAAAGTCCTCACAAGTATATGAAAGTCCTCACACGCTGGGTTGCAGCAATTAAGGACAAACTACAGACCAATAACATAATGACGTCAGGCCTCATTTACAAGTGCACTTTCCTAGGGTGGGAAATGATCCCTCAAGCCCCTAGAGGAAAGTAAACATGTAAAATCAAGCTGGATACCTATAAGCATTCCAGAAATAAATTGGTCTTCACTTTGATATTCAAGTTCCAACTGGCCATTCTGTGTACACAATATTCAATGAGTTGAAGTGAACACAGTGTGACTGAGTTACAAACAGGAGGAACTAAGTTGTCATCTCCATTACTTTTGCATGCATTGCTTTTAACATGTTCTGTGTATCTGCCTCTTTTTTTCCCTTGCAAAATAATATGACTGCTTTGTTAGTGAATGACTAGCCTTGGCCTCCAGGCTGAGCAGTTCACTCCTCTCTCTGGTGTACTCCAGGGCCGAATGGTCTTCGTCCAGGTTCTCCATGCGTGTCAGCAGTTGGTCTTTCAGCTCGGCCTGGAGACGAGACTTGGCCTGCCGGTAGCGCATCATGACGGCCGATTCCGCATCGGGGTTTAGGGCATCCTACATTGAATGAAAATTACAAGATCAAAGTGTGTACATTGAACAGTTGAAATTACATGACTGGAAAACCTCTGTAGGCAAGCTCTGTTGACAAAATTGGCAAGGGCAGAGACAAAAACCGTCCCTTGCTGTGCTCTGCTCACACCACCATGTTTGTCGTTATTATGTAGAAAAGTTTCCCCCAACAACAAAGCATATTCTTACCTCCAACTCTGCCAGCCTCTCTTTGTATTTGCTCTCCTCTGACTGCAGTCGCGTGTAGATCTTGCGCACCGTGTCAACAAACTTCTGGTGGGAGGCGTGGTGGCGCTCTTCACACGACCTCTCAGTGTCGTCTCCTAGACGTGGCATTAAAAAAGAGTACATGATGAAACCAATTCCACAGTTTTAATGAGTATCACTGACATAAGTGAAACTAGTCCTAATGCAACCAATGCAAATTCTGTTCACTCTGGAGTCGGCAAATATCAGGAACTTTTGAAACCGACGGTGACTAAAAGAAGGATAAAAAAATGACCTTGGCATGTGTCGCTATGTTAAAATAATGTCCTGCATTAACACCTCTCTGGCCAAGATCAGCAGACTCTTATTTCATCAATGTCTTGATATCTGTAGGAGGTGCTGGTCAGAGTCCAGGAAAGACAAGTTAAGGCAATACAGTGGTATCTTGGGACCATGGAGGCCTCACACTTCTGCTTCATTGTGAGATTTATCTCGGTTTCTGAGGACATGCGCTCACTCTATATATTTAGTGCTCACCTTCGGTGAGAATTCCCATGACATGCAGTGGCAGGACGTTGTTCAGTTCCTCTGAGGCCTCCACGCGCCTCGTCACCTCTCTCTTGTTGGAGTCTTCCAGGGACTTGGCAGAATCACTGAAAGAATCAAGGGCTTCCTCAACCTGCATCAGAAGATACCCAAGAAAGAGACAAAACTCTCTGAAACAAACTGTAAGTGAGAATACTGACACTCCGAACATTTAAAACCGTGCGAACGTGAAACTGGAGATATAATAAGATAAAAGTTTAAAAAACATAGACTGGTGATGGAAATCTTCCAGGTTTCTTCTCTGCCATATGCAAGAACTGATAATCTGGTTGCTTGAAGAGTGGTCGATAGCTGCTTGACAGTATTTGAAATGTTGGGCAGACATTGCTGACAGGAGTCCTGATCGAACTGAAGGACCAACCTTTTTGACGTCGACATTCTCCATGTCCAGCAGGAGCTGATTGGCCAGTCGGGATTCCTGGGCAGTCAGCTCTTCTTCTCGTTGCCGCTGACGACGCCAGAAGCCGCGCCTAGCGACAATCTCATCCTCGAGCATGGCAACCTGTCAAGATGAAAGCAGACAATTCCATTCAATATAGAACCTTCGAATTTCATATTAGAAACAAGCCTCCTCTTGGTGACAGTTTCACATACCAGATGGCTTCACCCGAAGTGAACTGAAGAATGGATATATCTTCATATTATATTATATTATATTGTGAATACATCAATAGAAAATGCAGTGGTATTCAAATGGAGCACGGGGACTTTTGCGTGTATGAGCATGTCTAATGCCAAACTTCACAGATATTTTGAGTGGTTACACTACACAGGCACTTCCACGTTCATAAAATGCGGTAACCAATGACAAGCCCGAGTATATTTCGGTAATATCCAAATCTCACTTTTATTTATCAATATATTTATTTCCTTATTTTGCACTGGAAAAGTATCATGGAAATTTGTTAAACTAACAACAGTTTTTTATAGGAAAAATTCAAAATCAATACGTACTGCTCCAAGAGGTGGTTTCTTCTTCTTGTCAGCGGAAACGGTTACCGGGACAACCGTCTCAGTGTCCGGGTTGATGCGGACCCCGGTGATGGGGCTGAGGTCACCAGTGACGCTGTCCACGGCTTGACGGCCAATCATGATGGGAACCAGTCCTGTTAGTGAGAAAGATATGAATGTAGACGAACACTGAACACTGACTCATGCAGAATCTACAAAGTAGGCTATCGGGCTTTGGAATTGCCCAATTTCAATGCAGAAAACCATTCATCTTGCTTGGTGACCAGTGGCTGGTACCAGACAACTCCTTACCATCGCCGTCGGGATCCTCCATGGTTCCCCCTAGCGGGATCAGCGCGCCTGTCTTGGCATTCCTCTCCACGCCCAGGATGGCAACTTCCTGCCCGGAGCCGCTGGGATCGGTCATCTTGGTGCCGACCAGGATTGGCAGAATCTGTCCGGTGGCTGTGTGCTCGTACATGCCTGCTCAGAGACAACAACAAAAAAAAATCTTGAAAACTCTTTAGTCACAAGGTTTGTTTTTGTTTCCTCAGACATTTGATATGCCGTCATCCAATATAATAAGGAAGCATATGCAATACAGATGCTTCTTTTGTTGTGCACGTTATTATTATTATTACTGTAGGTTTATTCCATCACGTTTGCAGCCCAAGGGCTTAATTACACAGTGATTTACATTTGTATAATCAAAACTGAAACAGTACATGTACAATTGAATTTTACAAGCATACCAATGGGAAATTGAGTTCAAATACATTCAAAATCTAGAGGTCTGTAAGAAAAACAAAACAAAAATTATACATCAAAAATAAAAATAAACAAAATGAAAAATGTTGTGGTGATGAATATTTAAAGCCTGCGATGGTTTGAAAGTAACACCGTCATGGCATATATAGTGTCAAAACTGGCACAGTTCCAATTAACATGACATCAGGGTTGAGACTCATGACAGACCTGGGGAGCCGCCGCTGATGGCCAGGATGGAGGCGCGCTCCAGGCGGCGCCGGATGTCGTGGATAGCGTGGATGTGGTTGCTGCGACAACGCTGCCTGGCTTTGACCAGGTCCTTCAGGGCGGTCTCCAGTTGGCTCTGCTCATGGCGACAGTTCATGCCCTCGGGACCTGTGGAGATGGGTACCAGTTTGATTTTACCATACTGCATCCATTACTTTACTGAATTAGTCTCTCACATTGTGTGTGAGTTAAGCAAAGACCACCATCCATCCTGCTTGGATAAACGGTACTTTAATACTAGTCTCTTCACATTCCATAAAACACCCCTTGGAATGGACTTCCAATATGTAATGTAAAACCCACCCTCCCAATTATTCCTTTTGCAAACAGGTTCAGAATAAACCAGCTTACGATGTTCTTAGCTCAGCAAATGTTGTCCTCACACAACCTATCAAAGATCAAGTAAGTCTACAATTGTTGTTACAGACTCCATATGCTAAGAAGGGGGCATTTACAATCTACCCCAAACTGCAAGCACATCTAGTATAGAGAGTGCACAAACATTTTTGCATATATGGAGCATATCTATGTGGACCCACGGTAGACGTGGATTTGCTTGTTGCCCTGTCAACCTACATGTATGTATTGCTAATAGGAGGTTTTGTGTATGAAGCAGACGCAATGAAAGCCAGTGCAACGTTTTCTGGCCTGAGCTGTTGGTCCTTCGCAAGCAATGGCAAAAGAAAATCTTAAAATCCTATCAAATACGAGTTAACAGCAACGTCCTTCCCACATACCGACAGCCGCGTCCAGGTAGGCCTTGACGACCTCCAGTATCCGAATCTCACAGGCCATCAGGTTGGAGTCCAGCAGTGTCTGGTAGCTCCCGCTGGAAGGCAGCACCTCGTCGTCATAGAGACCACCACTCTGGATCAGGACCTGCAGGTTGCTCAGGGGCTCCACAAAGCGGTCGCCGGTAACCATGGTGACATAAGCATTGTGGGCACCATTGGGTGGCTGCCGGGTACCGCCTATCGGTATGACGTCACCTGATGGGTATACAAATGCAGAAAACACTTGTTATTCTTCTGGCCTGATATAAGTTAGGTTAGGTTGACTTCCATAGCTCAGGATTGGGCGAAATACTGCAGACATGCATGAGCAAATGTAGACGTATTTCAACATAGACTCTAATCAAAGACACACACATTTAATAATGAGGCGTGTTTTTTGTTTTACTGTTTGGCAATGTTTCGGTCACATTAATTGAATGAAACTTTGTCTGGGTCATCATATATACATGTATGTGCTTTTTAACATATACTGCCAGGTTTAATTTGAAGTTGCACGACGTATGCCTGGGGGATTTTTAAGATTTTTAAAATTCTTTAAAAATTCATAACTTCATTTACTGGACATTCATTCCCACAGGAATGACTGTCTGGTAGCTACATGTACTCTAATCTGACAGACAACATCTATTGACATCCGAGTATTTCAGCCAGGTCTGCCGCCTTGTAAAGAGAGCCCAGATTGTGCGGTGTTATGTAACTTTCTTTTCTTCCCGAAACTGGCCCAGTGCGCTACTGGCGTCTTTTCAAATGCAGACCAGATTAGCCTGCAACAGTATTGTATCGCTCATCCCTGGAGCACTGGAGTGCTTTTGTCCCCGGTGGTAATCCGCTCGCGCTGAATGCCACAAACAGGGGTGTACTCATTCAAAACAATGAGAGGTTTCCTCCGCTATTGACAATAATAAAAGAAAAAAGGTGGCAATTTCCAGCAGCTCGGTCTTTTGTTCCAAGTACGGTCTTTTGTTACAAGGCCAAGCTCCTTTGTCTGATTTCGGACACCCCGGCTTTGCGTATAAAGCCAATGTCTCCGGTACCGGGCACCCCGGCTGAAAGTGATTAATACATGCATCTGGCTTGGGTATCCTGGGCATGGTGTTAACAACAAAAACTAAACCTAAAATTAAGAAAAAACCTAAAACTAAACCTATAAGTCAAACACAAGTCAATATTACCGGACACCTAGGATTCATTTTGTGCACTGGTTACCAGGGAAAACCAACCAAAGGACTGACACCTGGCCACTGATTGAAGTTGGCCACTGTTTTAGTAAGATTCCAGTCATGAACACAAAGTCTTCAGTGCAAAATAACTTGGGAATAAAACTGTTATCTACTGAGACAGAAACCGGCTTAACGTGGAATTGTTGCTGGGCTGGAAGTCCAAGCTACTTGTTGCTAAAAATCTTGGTGATAGTTTAATAGTTTGTTGAAATCAAAAATCGTAATCGTTTCGAGGGTACTGCAAGATACATCATGTACCTGTCTCAGGGTCTATTGCCACGCTCAGAACTGGCACGGGCTGCTCGCTGCTGGGGTCGATCATCACGGCACCTATCTCGATGGGTACTGGCAGCCCTGTCACAGGATCGGTGTGGGTGCCCGCCACAGGGTATGCCACCCCGGATTGCGGGTGGATGGTGACAGCCACCACGGGACACTTCAGGCCTGTGTCGGGGTCCGACATGGGCGCGTTGAGCTTGAGCTCACCAGCCCGCTCCACGGCTGTCAGCTTGCTGCTGACGGGGAGACCGGTGTTGGGGTCAGTGGGGAAAGGAATGTAGGGGATCAAGGGCTCCTCCGAGCGGATCGAGTCACCTGGAAATAGATGAGAGACCAGTTTCATATGAGTACTCATGGACATAACTTCTCGAACAAACCCCAGAGAAAAAACTGACTAATACATATCAGGGCAAAGTTGATTAGCTGCAATTTGCTAACCACTGGTCGATTTTACCCGGTGCTCGGTATATACTCAATGCACAGGACACAAGTCAAATCTGACTACTGGTTGACAGTTTGATACTGATCCAACTTGCACTTAACTACAGAGATGAACTTGTAACCTCAGGAAAACTTTCATTACACAATTTGCAGTCAAATATTGAAAATGCAGTCAAGGATGGTTTGGACGAGTGTAATGCAATCGGTCAAATGCAACTTCAAATAATGTCTCAACATCCTGAGCTTTTTTGTTAGGTATTCATTTATTTATATTTATATTTGATAATCCAACAAGCGCTTTTAGCGCCAATTAAGGAAGATAATGAGTGAAGTACTCTCAGTTTAGAGGTAGGAGGAAAACCCCGTATAAATGTTTCAGAGAAAACCAACAGACTCAGGGAGGGACTGAAAACCCAATCCACAGGTGGACCGTGCCAGATTCGAACCCATGCCTCCTGAGGTGGAAGGCGAGGAAAGAACCACTACACCAACCTGACTTGTATGGATCAACTGAATAACAAGTGATGGAAATCAACAGCCCACTCAGAATTTGACAGGCAACGGGCGATGCCAGGAAAACTGTCTTCCAAGCTGGTTTATGTCAAATCCGAGGGGAAACCAGCTGACTGCTCATTGACCTTAGACCTGACCTAGCTGAGAAAGGTAGCAGCATGTTCTGAAGTTTAAGATGGGCACAGCCATCCAGTGTTTTGAATGTGAGGGGTAACATTTCAAAGTGACCAACTGATAGCCAGTGTGGACCATGCAGCTCGCTGAGGATGGGAGGAACAATGACACATATGGACATGTAGGGAAGTTGGGAAAAGGACGTCGCAAATCAGTTCTTTTGGTAAAAAAACTCCCTTCATCCTTCAATCCCAGAATTAAAGATTAGAAATAAACAAGACACGACAATAAGAAGATGGCATTTTTCTTTGCTTTGTCGCAACTAAAACCTGAAATCTTACCGACTGAGGAATCCACTGTGTAGACAAGTCTCGAGGTCACAGGATCGTATCCCACGTTGCCTTGGATTGGCAAGGCATTGCCGGTCTGCGGGTGGACGAAGTAATCTGGGGGGATGCTCTTAACGGTGCCGTTGGCCAACAGCATGCGAGCGTCACTGTTTGGCACGATCAGGCCTGTCGTGGTATTTTGGTGGACAAGGTCCGAGCGCTGAATACTTCCATCAGGCCCTTTGGGTTTGGGATGGTTGTGGAGTTGCGGAAGAGAAAAAAAGTCACAGAATAAAGATCTCTGAGTGCACTTTTCAAGCAAAATTAGACAAGGGGAAAGCTTTATATGTCATATTCACTTGGAAAGATATCTGGTACATTTCACTGACTCTGTTGAGTAGGTTCAAGTTTTTTCTCAATCCAGAATCATTTATCTCAACAAACAAATGTAGCTCAGTAACCCAAATACTCGTGACCCCGACACCATATGTGACCCACCATCCCCAAACCAGGCTGAAGTAGGTAACTTCATAACCCTAAAATAGTGGAACTTCCACTCTTCAGATTTTCAAGGGAGTTTTCCAGCTATCACTACCCGTAAGAAGCTTCCAGCAGACAGAATTTCAATTTAACAAGGATCACATTAAAGTGTAAAAAAGTTGAAGGAAAGGAATTGTCCACCATCATAAATACAGGCTTCAGCCTGGTTTGGGGATGGTGGGCCACATATGACGATCCCCAGAAAGTAAAATACAATGACTAGCTCACCAAACAGCTCCTCCTTTGCCACAGGTGCGTTGGTGTCCGGCGAGATAAGCGGAGCGCCGATGCCTTGCCCGAGGACGCCCCAGGCACCGATGCGCTGGGCCTCTGCGGACACTTCGCTGGACATGCGGCCCAGGAGAGCTCCGACGCGACGGATCACACTACAAAAACAAAACAAGAACAAGACATTTCAAGGAGAAAGGGACAACATTTGATTTACAAAACTGCTTCCCAGAGACAGTGCCTGCCAGCCTGGCAAATGCCACAGGAGGAGTATCAGGCGAGCAAAAAAACTAATTTTTACAAAGGTGTCGACGAGGAAAATTGTTCATACACAACAATGCAATAAATTTAAAGCTCAATTTCTGAAAAGGCGACCTTTCTATTAAAGCAGGGATATTCAAGTCAATAAAAATACCTCCGACACCTACACCTGTATCCCCCAATATTCTTGGACTAGCAACTGTCCTGCTTGCACCTATTAACCCACTGCCCTGTGTCACCATCCAGACTGCATGGCCCACAGAACCACAAAGCAAACCACTGCCCACATTTTCCACTACACTCCTCCAAGGATCCATGAAGACTCTGCATCTCCATAGCAAATAAAATGAAGCTCTGTATCATTCTGAGTTATAACATCTGTGTACCTTCCCCTGAATAAAGTGGAAGCTCATTAAAAATAGCACTGATGATAACAAAGACATAGGGCTGAGTCAAATCAAATAATCTATTGTTCAAATATTCAACCTTCAATCTGATCGAATAGCGGAATATTCGGTTGCACCAACCGGCAGATTGTTGAAGAATAAATCATACACAAACTCAGTTGCAATAACACACACAATTGTACATTATGATCAATTCAATAGCTTCTAACATCTACGAGTATCTCCAGCCACGATTTAGCGAGATTTAAGAGATGAACAAGACTTCTTGCCCTGTTGAAGATTTCTATTCCTTTTAAATTGTTTGATGAATAATTTACTTCTTAAATTGTTGTACGATTTCTGACGCTTTTCATTAGAATCTGCTTGAAACAGGCCTCTATAGCGCAAATTTTCTCATTTACAATAAAAGAAAATATTCCCTTCCTTTACATGAATTTTGCATTCGAATATTCAAATTCGAAAAAAAATATTTGAATATTCGACAATCAATCGAATGTTTGGTTAAGCTGATATTCGGCACAGCCCTACAAAGAAATTGTTTGGTCCCAATCCTTTGTTTTTCATTGCCTTCATTCCTGATAATAGAAGGTTCCAGTTAGAACAAGGTCATCTGCAGAGCCCAAAGGACCTCTTTATTAATGACAAAGGACCGTGCGCTGCTCCTCTGCAGAAAGGCTCTGATGTTCCCTTTTATCCTCTAGTATGCAAATCTGATGCTTCCAAGTCAGGAACATTTTCTTTCCAAAAAACAAACAGAAAAGTTTTCGGTAGTTTGGCGCGACTCACTGTTTCTGTGTGGTGTTGTCAAATTCTTCTTCCAAGCTCTTCTTTCTGCCGGTCTTGCTGTCTGTGTAGTCCTTCAGGGTGCGGACTGCCTCGCGCAAGGCTGACAGGTAAGACACCTGGACAGGAAAACATTAAAGGGGCATATTGAGGTGGGACAAAAAGCAATGCCTCGCAAGGGCAGCCAATGGCAGCCAACCCCCCCCACCAAGCTCAAATCTTGTTTCTTGAAAAGAAAAATCAGAGATAACCAATTCTACCCTCCTAAACTTCAAAAAGTGTGTAAAAAGCCACCAAGCGCAGCTCCACCCCTCAATGTCTTCTCAGTTCTACGTTCATCATTGGTTTGGAAGGCAGAAATTGGCAGTTGAGTCAAACTATTATCTTCCATTCATAAAACCCTACAAGAGGTCAAGTCACAATGTATTATAAAAAACGTCAAGTTACACTGCACTACAGAAGACGGAAGGATCGTCACACAAAGAAAATGGACACCAAAGCAATTGATCGTCAGTGAAGCCACAAGCTATCCAAACTCAGTAACAGGTGTCCTCTGTGTTTCCTCAATTTGGGCTCTCCTGCCTCAGGATTTACATGAGGTTACCATGGATACTGACCTGGTGCTCCTCTCTGTTCCTCTCGTCCTCCTCCTTGATCTCCAGTTGCCTCTTCAAGATGGCTTCGAAGCGGAAGCCCAATTCCTTGCGCCGTTCGAGCTCCATCTCCAACTAACCAAAAGAAAAGAGCGGATGCCACTGTTATCCCCTTGACCAAATTTTGTCATCAGTTTTTGGTAATTAAACCAACAAAACAAAATCAACTGAAAGGTGACTCAATCTTGCAATCAGTTAAAAAAATCGAACAAATTTAGTTAGGGAGAAATACGAAATTTCATTGGACGAAGCTACACCTGTCATGGAGGAAGTCACCAAGAAAAAACAATGCTATAAAAGATTCAGTGCATCGAAAGTATGAAATACATCCCTGTGCCTAGGATGTTGTGAATGATAGGTTGTATCCAAAAATTACAGCTGCGGCTAGAAATGATACATGTACCTATAGGAGTCTCATGGCTAGCGGCTTTGGGCACTTCCAACAGATGCCAGTGCTATGTCTGGCCATAGCCAATTGATTTTGACATGGCTTGTTTTTGCCTCCAAAAAGCCTGTTAGCTGCATGTCTGGAACCCTACCTCTTCATTCTTGCGCTCGTATGCTTCCAGGTCCTCCTCGGTTGCCAGGGCGCTGCGTCCCTTCAGGTTCATCTTGGCTACCCATAATCCTTTGAGGTTCTCAGCCTGGTTGGACAGCTTCTGGTACAGAGCCTTAGCCTGTCGCAAAGCAAGGATAATTTAAGAATACTACATTTATAATTTGCAGATGTCACAACTGCAAAAGGCTGAATACTTCTCTGATATGTTGCAATGCACATTCTGTCATGCTGCCATTTTGACTTAAAATTTAGAATCTGAAAAACAATTCTCACAGAGTGTCTGTTTTCCGAGATGGAAAACTTTTTAACTTGTCCAGTATTGACCATTACCATAAACCTGACCAATAAATGACAATCAAAACTTTTTGTGATCAAGTTGAAACTTCACAGATGTTCTCAGAATCGACAATCAGAGGAATATCATGATTCAAAATGATTGCTTACAGGTCAGCCGAGATTTGAAAGCATAGGCGGACACCCCCCAACTGCCCAGCCATTTGCTTGGGAAATTTAAAACACACTCACTATACTTTTCATCACAGAGACTAAAGCAATATCTCGTAAAGACAAAGGTGCCTAATAGTGTCTTATTCAAATTGATTTGCCAAACCCACCTCTTCTTTCTGTCGTCCGAGCTCCGAGGTGACGTGGCGAGATTGCTGGGCAAGATGCCCGTAGAAGTCGGCTGTGCTGAAGGCCTCAAAGTCAATCTGCTTGTCGTAGTCCCAATACTCATCACCTTTGACTTCAATGGTTTCTGAAAAAGGGAAGGAAATGTCCACGTTAATTTTCAATCGTAGGGAACAGATGATGAAAACTTAATCACCTCACCTCCAACATTTGTGCTGGGTCCCCTCTCTACCCCCTTTCATGCTGCAGTTATCATGGTGATAGTTTCAAAACTCTCATATAGGTTCAATTCACTAGCAACATCAACGAGAGCTAGATACCTGATCAAAAATTGTACTTACAAAGTCTATATTTGCACATTCATTACTCAAAACCTCAAAATTTCCTCTATTTGGGCCCTGTTTATTCAAGTGGACCCTTTTCACTAATGCTTATTTCTGTTTTAAGCCAACGGTGGTAGAAGATTTTCAAAGAGGGGGCCACGTGGAAGACCATTAGGCATCTGCCATCAATAGACTGATCCCTTAAGCCCCACCCCCTTATAGGCCAAGATCAAGTGGGGGTGGGTGGGGGTGTGTGTGTCATGCCTCCCCCCATTTCCATCACCAGTTTGTTAAGCTTCCTCCGTACATGTATCTCTCACTTAAATCAGCAGAAACCCAAATTACTAAGTAATTCTTGAAGTTGGTTACAGTTGACTGCTACCACAATTTGGAGTCAGTTCTGAACAACAGATGAGTAGTCTGGTCTACAGGGTTCTGATGAACTCTGGTGGTCAGACTCACCGTCAATCACAACCCCAGCTGCCCCATCCCCTTGGCCATGCTCGCTACGCCCCTGCAGTGCCCGGTGGTACTTCTTGACGGAGTGCACGACCGAGCCCTTGGAGGCGTAGTCGTCAAAGTTGTGGCTCTGGATCAGGGCGCGGTACTTGGGCCGGATGTAGGACACCTTGCCCCAGCCGTACTTGCGGAAGAGGATCTGGTTGCAAACATATGACATCATGTCACAAACAATGGCATTGACAAGTCAGATGGCCACTACAACAGAATTGGGAGATGAAATCAGAACGGCAAAGTCTCTGTGGAGTGTTACACGGTTTGCGAGCATAAATCCAAAACACCATGCCCAAAGTCAATTTCTCCCCTGTAATCCTAGATTTAAAGACATCAGAATAATATCATCAAGAACCTTCTGCGTACTATTCCAAAACGATCCACAAATTAGAGCTTCAAAACAAAATTAAGGAAATATTTTAGCACCTACGCTCTAAATTTCTTAACCAAGGACCTCATAAAGAAAGAACTTAAACCTACAAACATGGAAGAATGCATTCAACAAGAAATTATAAATTTTACCAATATTAGAGCATCACACAGTGCATTTTAGTACAAAGAAAATCATAAATGGAGCAGAAAAATCTTCACAAGGTCACAGTGTGACAGCAAAGAATACTGTCATTTGTCAAAGTGGAAACTGAAAAAATATCTACGAGTACATTGAAAAGGGAGTGGAAAAAGCACATGGACCAGTTACAGAATTCCTTGGCACAGTCACTTTAATAGTGACGACAAAGAGCGCCCTCATCCATCTGGGCACACAGCCACTGGAAACTCACCAGGAGCAGGACCAGCAGGATGGTGAGAACCAGGATAAGCCCCAGCACCAGGCCGATGGTCAGCCAGTCGGGGGCCAGCAGGATGGACTGGCCCACCGCGATGCCGTTCTGGACGATGTAGCGGGGCGTGGCAGGGAAGTAGGGACCGTCCTCAGAGCACTGGGCATTCCTGGCCATGACTCGCACGTACTGGGTGGGGGAGAAAATATCAAGAAGAGTGGCATACATGAAAAGTTAAATGTCTACTTCCAATGTCAGCATTCTAGAAGACATTAAAACTGAGCTGGTGTGTCTGAACTTCCATGAGCTTGTCGGCTCAATCACTTCACCACCGTTTTCGCAAGCCGACTTGAAAGCTCTGTGTGCAGACACTTCATAGAACCATCTCATGACACCAGGGTACGCGTGCGCACCGCAAATACAGATGCATTACGGACTAATTGCTGATTCTACCAACTGACATGCAAGCATACCATTCAGAGATGAATGCTCTTAAGGTTTTTACACATATTCAAGTCCAACACTTACTGGAAGGGTTACGAAACAAATTGCAACTGGAAACCTTTCAGCTTGGAAAATTGAAGGAAATTTGACTTTGTGAAAACAAAATGTAATGGATGCGAGCACAAGGTGCTCAGTTGTGGTTATGAAACCGAATTTACAGGGTTTTGTAAATTTTGTGCAAAATGCAGTGCACTTAAGAACCACTGACTCCAAGTCCTCAGTGTCATATTATTAAATTTCAGACTGTCAATTTCTGCAGTGAATCTGTTTTCCATGTTTTAGAGCATGTCGTAACAGTGCACATCACAGTCAATCACACTACAATGACTTTTTCTCTGCAACACGTCCTGCTGCGTCGTACATTAGAGACGGGTCTAGTTCTTGCTTACCATCTTGCGCTCCGGGTTGCTGCTGAGATAGAAGACGTAGACGCCAGGGTCGACGAAGCGGTAGGTGAACAGCGTGGTGGAGGTGCCGATCTGAGTCTGCAGTTCTTCCAGTTCCCGGAAACCTCCGTAGTCAAACTGCTCATTTGTATTATACAGGTTCTCTCTGATGCGGAGGAAAAGGAAAAGTCTTTGGTCTTAAGAAAGATGACACGTAAAACACCATGTCATTGTCGACTGCCTAATGAGAAAATATTTCATGGGAATATGAGGAAAATTTGAGCAGGATCTGTCAATCTGAAAGCTCCGAACCACTTATTAATTGATTGATTGCAGTTCCCTACATAGGTCGAATTTTAGTCCAGTAAAAGGACTGGCTTTAAATACTAGCATAAACAAACAGAATTTTTACTAAAATCACTTGCACTTTGTGGCAGTGCGTGAGATTAAACAAAAGAAAGCGGTCACACACAAGATCATGTCGTTTGGTTGTTATCAGCTTTGATCAGATGCACACACATACATGTAGGTCACATAAGAACACACTCTCACAGTTCCAATGCGCTTAACACAAAAACTAAAGGGAAACATCAGCACGATCTGCTTTGCTTTTGTAGGGACTTTACCCTTCATATTTCTTTTGGACATGTTGCTATCCTATATCTTATTGTGGACGAAGAAATACCCGAACTGGTTGAAAAACATCTGACGTCAAACTAAAAATTTCACATTCTTAGATCAGAGAGTTGTAAAACTCAACAAAGAAACAAAGCTTTTGCAAAAATCTCCCAAATTTACCTGCTGTAGACGGGATAGTTCTGGTTGTCGACATAGAACATCATGGTCTCGCCGTATTTCAGGCAGACGGCTGGGTCCGAGATGCCGGTGAAGGAGGACCCGGGAACTCCTGAGGATGAGAGCAGACGCCGGCCGCCACCGCGCATCGCCGTTGAGTTGTCAAAGATGGACAGCAGTCGGCGGCGACTGGAGGCCGTGTAGGTGGAGGAGCCGTTGACCAAGGTGGCATTGTTCAGGCCCTTGGCGTTCTGCACCACCAGGCCCTCCAGCTGCTCAGAATCGGGGTCATACACACCCAGGAACCCAGCACCTGCACGTGCGAGAAAATAGTGCGCCAATAAATTCAATTTAGGGCATGAGTTAATGCGAATAATGCCATATTTGAATATTTGACCAGATTGTTAATGACCAAACCATATACAAAATTAGCTGCAATAACGCACGCATTATAATCACTGTAATAGCTTCGCACGTGTATGAGTGTGCCCAGCCACAATTTAGCAAGTTTTAAGAGATGAAGAATACTTTTTGCCCAATTGAAACTTTCTGTTCCTTTCAATTTTTGAATGAAAAATTTACTATTTAAATCGTTTTAAGATTTCTGTCACTTTTCATTTGAATCTGCTTGGAACAAGCCTCCATGGTGCAATTTTTCTCATTTAAAACAAAAGAAAATTCCCCCTTCCTTTTCATGAATTTTACATTCGAATATTCAAATTTGGAAAATAATATTCGAATATTCTATAATCGATCAAATATTCGGCTAGTCGGCACGGCCCTAACAATTTGTCGCTGGACCTTAGAAACTCACCCGCAGTGTTGCAAAGGCAAGTCCAAAGCTAGCACTTAGCCCAAGTTATTATGAAGCAATCACAAGGAATGATATCTCAAGTCAAGTTATGCGCTATTTAAATAAACTGTGGCCCTCAAGAAGCGGTGTGTTGTCTTTGAACATTTAGTCACTTGTGACTGGACCAATGGCAGGAATGGTGACTGGACTTGATGCAGATCCCTCAACAATATGTACACTGAAGACTCCAATTATTAAAGAAAAAAGCCAACGTGCACAAAATTTGGAAATAAAACGTAGACATTGAAGAGAGGTTCATTTCCAAACTAGGAAACGTGGCAGTGAATGGAAGCTTCCACAGCAGTGTAAATATTAGTAGGGGTTCGAAATTTCAATCAGGAATGATAAATATGAAAAATTTTATGAGATTTGCTCTTACTGCTGGCTTCCGTCACGTGGATGACCAGCTTGCTACCGTCCAACGCCTCGCACTGATCGGCTGAGATGGCGTTGCGCGAGTTGATCACCTTGGTCAGACTGCTGGACGGGATCTTGGTCTGTGTAAGGAAGTGGAATGACGAAGTGCGTATGCAGATGAGACTCTACGGCAGATGAACGACGGTCTAGGGCTTCACAGCCAGCACTTGGAAAGCGAGGGGCCCAAGAAAACAGGACATGCAGATGCTTCAAGTTTGAAACTTTTGCGCGCTTATCAGACTTGTGTCGGACATTTGGTTGCACAATCATGACCATGATTACTCAAAACCTGTGTAGGTGGGGCTTCATGGATTGGTCAACTCTGTTAATCTTCTGTCTGAAAACGGTATGCACACTTTATGAGAACCATTTGGGAAACAAAGTTGAGGTTTAACTTGTGACTAAGTATGTTTCTGCTATCAAAAGTAACTTCTGGTTTTTAGGCAGACAGACCTACCTGTTCTCCAGTTGGGTACTCAATGCACAGGTAGGGCGGGTCCTCACACACAAGGGTGATTCGGTTGCGCTGGGCCAGGCGGCACTCCAGGTCACACACCTCCTGTAGGTCGTCCACTCTGCAGACGCACAGGGACAGCGTCACGTCAAAGCCGATGTAGTCTTCAGCAGATGGGCAACCTCCCTGGGTGGCAAAGCGACGAGAGAAAGGAAAAGACGACTTTTAGGAAACTCACACTAGTAAATGCTTTGAGGTGCCACCTTCTTGAGGGGTCTTGGTCAGTTTTGGGGAAAGCTTTGTTGTGTCAGAGCACCTATCCACTGCTGAAAAATTCTCAGGTAGAGCAAGACCTATTTCCAAAGAAGAAATTCACAGTAATGTTAAACTTTACGTATTTCTTGTACATGTGACCAATACAACATGAAGCTTTATCATGGCCACAATTCATGCTTGCAAAACACTTTTTCTGCAACAGGCTCAAACCTGGCACAGTGTTCGACCCAACTCCACGGCAATATCCCAGACAGTGTGGTAAATTACATGTATTGTAAGCGACAGACCCACTGGAAGTCAAATCTCATCAGTTGCCAGCCAGGTGACACTTTTAGTTGGTGACCTGCTCTGTGAAAATGGGCGATGAGGCCATTCATTTTCAGTGATTTTGTTTTGTTTCAGCTGACCTTGAAAAAATCAGCTCTGTGTTCACACATCCCTCAATTTGGCATCTTGACAAAACTGAATAATTGTGGGGGTGAAAAATGTGGAGGGCTCCTATAAAACACTGTGAAAGATTCTTCAAAATGCCTTCTATTTGAAAGGGGCTTTGAAAACTCATTTTCATAAAAAGTGGGTCATAATTTCGAAAGCAAGGTTTAGGTGAACACAAAGACAAACACAACCCCAAATTTGTTTTCCTTGGCAATGCTTTGTTCTCGTGTACTGAAACATTCGGCAGTGAAACGCTACATTCACAATGCTCTTATCTGAGCCAGAGTTACTTCCCTCAGTTAAAATTGCGACCGAATGTCCCTTATATACAATACTTCAAATTGCTTCTGATAATTACACATTAAATTTTCCTCCTTTTTGAGTAATTTCCAAATATCTGTTTGACGAATCCTTGGAGACAATTATTTCCTTAGAGCTGCCTTGTGGAGACTTTTCCATCTACAGAGGGTTTGCATGACTTCCATCTTGCAGGTCAGGACTTCCACAGAATAAAAATAAACAACAGAGGTTGCCCTGTGAAAAAACAAAGAACTGCCCTGCAAGATGGCTTCCAAGCAAAGCCTGCATTTTCCTGGGTCTCTACAAGGCACTAGATTTCAAATCAAGCCAACTACGTGCAGCATAAAGTCATCTTTTTTGCTTGATGTCATTCAAACTTCTGCTCGTGTTTTTCTTACCCCTGTTCTGCAGTACTCCTCCCATCCGGCGCTGTCCAGGCACGTTCCGTTCTGGTTGCGGGAGGTACCCTCCCCGCAGATCTCGTACACCTCCTTCACGCAGTCTTGTTCCCGTCCGACCAGCGTCTGGTAGCCTTGCCTACACAGGCACTTCCGATCGCTTGGCTGTTGACAGAGGATAGGGCACCTGACCGTACAATTTGATCTTATGTGATTTTTATCACACAGTAGCTAATATGATTTATGCAATGACATCGGGTGTAAGGGGCACAAGACCGCTGGCCCCCTCCAAAGGAAAACAAGTAAAAGAAATTTGTAAAAAACAGACAGAAATAAATGAAAATCACCAATCTGCTCATAAACCTTCAAACTGACCTCATTAATTAGATTAATAATTTTACAGTTTGTTGCTGATGAGTGCTTTGCTCCCCTAGAAAAAAAAGCTTTACCCCCTCATCCCAAAAACCCAACTGGCGACACCTAAAGTGCAATCCTTTGATTAAGCAGCTACTGAAAGAAAATGGGAGCTAAGAACAGGTGGTGTCTCAATGACTGTAATTTAATTCCTTGCAGTCTAAGTGTATGAAAATGTTTGACTACAAGTTCAAGTCTCAAGATGTACTTTACGTCAGGGAAGACGTTAATTTTAATTACGGGTTTTGCCCTTACCCGATGTATATTCATAAACACTATATACCCAGTGCTTGTCCTAGAGCTTGCGAAAAATTCACAGGCTTACTCACTAGTAGGCAAGAGGTTGTGGGTTTGAGTCCCAACCGAGTAAGCTTGTGAATTTTTTCGCAAGGACAAGCATCAAGTTAACATTGTTTATGAATATACGTCAGGTAAGGTTTAAAAACAGTAATAAATCTCTGAGCGGTTGTGGTACAGCAGCCTCGCACCTCTACAACTTAAAACAATTCTTCACTGTCTTCTCTGGGTTTCCGAGGAAAATACTCCACTAGTAACTGAAAGGACTACCTAAATTATATAAAATTAAATAAACAAATACATGGCCCAGTTTGGACAAAACTAAATTACCTGGAACTGTTTCCCTGCACCCGTGCATATGCACTGATCCTGTCCCGTCTCGGGCTGGTAGGCCTCGGCTCCACAGTGGAAGCAGCCGGCCTGTCCCTCCAGATGGTTGAAGTGATCAACGGGGCAATTCAGGCAGTCAGCAAGGGACTCGCCGTACTGGGCATCGTTGAAGGTGGCGCTGGGACAGGGGATCTCGATGGCTGAGCCTTCTGGACAGTAGTAGCCTGTGGGAAAACCAAGTGAGAGCCAGTTCAATGACGGTAACAGTTCATGTCACAGGTCTGTATCGGCCCTCGAGTTGAAGTGCACCCTCACTTGTAAAGAAGAGGTAGGCTGGTGGGAAGGTTTTCCAGTCCGGCTTGAGCACGTGGCCGAAACACAAGCAAAGACCATACATTTAAACAGATATTGGTTGCACGTGCTCAGCACATGAATTTTTATGCGCATACAGTGTGTCCCGGCCAAATCACTGTTTTTGTCGCTCTCTCTTGGTCCCACTCAAAATGGATAGACAAATCAATTAAAGGAGATGCTATTACTTCAGAATTCCATGTTGGAATTCCTCCTCTTTGGGTCATGTGACCTACTGTAGGTGGCTAACTGATCTACCTAACAGATCTCTTTATTAAAAATAGTCAGAATTTCCTTAGGTCTGGGAACCAGACTACAAAGTGCTTACCATATGGGCACGGGTAGGAATTGGTCACGTTGAACCCATGGCTAGTGTCGTTACCCTGCGGTTCGTCAGTCGTTGCACCTTCAAAACAGACCACGCCCGCCCGGCAAATGGTGCAGTTGGCTCGGTCGGGCTCGTTACCATAGTAACCGGCCGGGCAGATCTCGCAGGTGTTGGCAAAGGTAGAACGGCGGGAACCCTCTTTCTCCCGGTAACCCAACGGGCACTTGACCGGCACTATGGCTCCTGTAAGTGGGCCAGGAATAACTAAAATAATAATCCGCATAATCCTCATCATTTGAGCTCTTCAGGTTACTACTGCGGCACTGAATACACAAACAAGTGATAATAAACAGACATTCGGTAGTGCTTTTAATATGAGTAAAGCATATAACATAACAGAGAAAAGTCAAACATAGAGAGACTAAGGCCGTGTCCGAAACAGGCTTCCAGAGCTATGGCTAGGTCTATTGTCTGGGCGTCTCCACGTACTTTCAATGGAGTGAAGACCTAGACGTAGCTCTAGACAACAGATTCGGATGCAAGCTAAACAGGAATATATTCATAAAATAAAAAATCACGATTTTGATTTGTTGAGTATTCTTAAAAGTTCCTGAGAATGCATCAGTGTTGCTCTGACGTTTCTGATCTTGCTCTATTCTACAGACTTTATACATGCTTTTCTTGGACAGTGCTCTGACTTTTAGACCTTACGTCTTACATCAGTATCACAAAGACTCCATGCCAAAAACGGTCTGTGAGTATCGACGTCATGATGGGTCCTGTGACACTACCTTAATGATGCAAAGTCTTTCCAAAGTTGTACATTCACAGAATTATATACCCCACTGAGTTTAACCTCTGTCTGTACTTCGGCAGTGTCACATTTAAGCTGCAGACAATTTGTCCCAATCTTCCAAGGCTACGAGTTCTCTATGATGCCCGACTCACCAGCGCAAGGCTCCGTGTCACAGTCCTCTCCGCAGTAGTGGCCCGCCGGGCAGGGCATGGGATAGCTGGAGTTGACCGGGCAGTAGAATCCAGCCGGACATGGCTCCTGGGTCATGGAACGATTGCAGTAGTAGCCTACGGTGGAAAAGGGAGCAAGACCCATGGACAAATAGCACATATATGAAGTCTTTGCCTGTTTGTGGCCTTGGCCTGACAATGCTAATGACAAAAATGAATCAGTGCGATCTTAAAAGCCGTATGCCGAACCAAGTCCATACAAGCCTTGATGAAGGGTTCTTACATGCCTATAGAGGTTGTGCATGGCAGCCATCTTTGCGGTTAAACTGCTTTTGTATACTGAGGGATAGCACTAAAGGTCTACTCATGTGTATCCCTGTGGAACAAAAGCTCTTACCACCAAAATGGCTGTCATGCATAACCTCTGTTAAACTCAGTCTATTTTATAAGAGTGCTAACTTGAGAGGGCTTGTGGCATTGCTGGCGGAATTATTGTTAGAAGGTCCAACAAAAGCTATCATGACAAATGCACTGGGTATTAAAATAGGACGAAATATTGTTTGATTAGCTCCCTACAGGCTCCCTGATGTACGTTTCGCAATGCTGCTGGAAAGGGAGAATATCGCATACATACCTGGTTGGCAGTCTCGCTGTTCCCAGGAACCCTCAGGGCAGAATTGACCATCTAAGCACTCGATGCCGTAGCTGTTGGCCGTGTCGTTGGGGCAGTAGTAGCCAGCTGGACACACCCAACATTCCTCTTGGCCTGCGGAAAGATTGAACAGTGTAAGTGGAAAATTGAAAAGTGTCAAGTTTTGTTATAATTTACATTCATGGAAAGGAAGATGGAATCATTTTAGGAAATCTAAAATTGTGTTTCCGGACAAATATAGCAGAATACTTAAACCTCTTTGTTTCTGTTGGTTTGTAATATCCTCAGCAGAGGATCTGAAGGTGTGTGATCAAACAAGGATCCATACTGTTCAAAAGCTGTTGATATTTTTCAGCAAATTTGAAATTTTCCAGTGTGAACTTTTTTTTCCAAGGTCTTGCCACAGCCAGCTTTGAGATATGGAATACGTGCAGAATTTAAGCAGCGATAGGAAGATGAAAATCTCAAGTTTTAACATGACACAAACACTAATGCACTTTGAAGGAGATTCTGCGATTAGGCAAAAACACCAGGCACTAAAACCTGAAGATTTGTACATTTTGGATTTACTCCAGTCGGTTAACTAGTTTGCAATAGACCACTTCTACTTTTTTTGAACCGAACCTGCAAGCTAAGTGACGCTTTTACTGATCACATCTGATTTAGACATCAGGCAGAGAAACCGACTTACTTCGGGCAGCCTGTGTGTCCCTGTATGTCCCTGGGGGGCAGGGGATAGGCTCTGGGGTGGCGGTAGGGCAGTAATGACCCAATGGACATGGGTTGGTGTCGTAGTCTGTCATGGCTGTAACAGGAACAAGGAGAAATCATTGCAAATGCTGCTAACCCCAACACTGCCTGATCCTCCAATTATCAACAGAGGTTTTCACATAACCCGGGAACGAGAGCTACTGAACTTACAATTCTTGAAGAAAACCTTCACACAAAACTGAAAAAAGGGTAAAAATAAGGTTTTTAAAATCTGATCTATAGCAACCCTTTTCCAAAGGACACAGATTAGAAAAAGCGTCATAACTTTTCAGTTGATATTCAGAGGCAAGTATGTAACGTTCTTAAACAAAAAAACTAAGCTATCAGACAACTAGTTTTAATGGTGCTCTTTATACTCGTGCAAACTACACAATATACTAATGAGCAGGTGGCGACACAGTGGTAGTAAAACGTTTAAATACAATTTGAATGACAGTGTTCAATTACAATTTTTAGACATCCTTAATTCCTGGCGACCTTTCCTTTTCTATAACTGTGATCAACCAGAACCTGAACTCTACATTAACTCTCCTTTTACTGTAACCGGTAACCGTCCAAAACAGTAAAAAAAATTCTTTCCACTTCCCCTGTACAGTACACAGACATATCACATGTCACTTGACTGATTTCGACTGAAAGGACAACTCACAACTGTGTTGAGAATGCATCTTTGCATAGGAGAGTTAAACATCTTACTGGCTGATGAGCCATAGAAAATGACTTTATTAATATAATATATATGGTTTGTTACATTTTGCCTCGTTGCAGCCATATGGCTGAATTAGGCATTACAAAACAATCTATTTATATACATGTATTTAAAAATATCAAAACGGGAAAATCACCAAAAATCATCGTGTATAATGACATTGGTACACACACATTAAAAACATGCAATCAAACTTACAACTATCAAAACAAAAGTATCAAGATGACATAACAAACAAAAATCAATCATTGTTGCTGGGAATCGCCGATGTCTCGAAAAAGGGTGATTTAAAGACTAGTGCTTTGTAAACAGTATCCCAAGGACATAACATAAAGAAGTACCATCGACATACCTGGGTAATTACACCAGTATCCTGCCGGGCAGGGCTGGCAGGTGCTGGAATTGGTGGCCTGGGATTCGTCAGAATAGGTTCTGTTTGGACATGGTTTAGGATCTTCGTTGAACTCGCAGTAGTAACCTAAGAACAAGATGAGGACACTTGTATATTCAAAATATAAGGATTTCTTCTCATTAAAGTTTGGTACAATTGGGCCTGAATGGCATTTGTGTCCCTGCTGTAATATGCGCATACATGAATAAAATTTGCATGAATTTATGGCCTACCTGGGGTGCAGGGCTCCGCCTTGATACTGTCGATGGTGCAGATGTAGCCGGCCGGGCACTGGGTACACTCCGCTGAGCTCTTGGCCCCCGGCTCTGTGATGACTTGGCCCGGGGAACACACAGACACATTCAGTGCACCTGGTAAAGAAGAACGAAAAGATGCATATTGAAACAGGTGTGCAGGGCTGGAAGTGAATCAATATGGTCTTCCAAAGTCTGATCGGTTACCATATCACTGGTAGATTTGGCCTGGTACCCAGAATACATTCTGGCACAGGGTACCAAGAGAAATCAAACTGGTCGACAGCTAGTCACTGATGAAATGGCCCAACACTGTTAAAAAAAAACTACTACTAATCCATGTGATGGCTTGACTGGAGCTTTTTCACAAAGCGACAATTCAAAAAGAGAAGCACAGCATGGCATCTTCATCGGCCCTCAAGTTTATCATAAGTACAGCCTTACCTTCTAAGCAGTAGTAGCCAATGGGGCAGGGCTCGCCCATGACCGGGTGAGATCCGTCGGGGGTCGGGGTGTCCGAGCCCGAGTAGCAGATGAATCCAGCGGTGCAAGGCGCAGCGATCCTCCCACCGAGGCAGTAGCTCCCTACACAACGACAATAAAAACTCAACATCAGATCAAGATGGATAGATGAAGAGTTGAGAAAAGTGAGGGATACATTTAGTCCAATCCAGTGACTTCTAAATGAAAAGAAGAAATGACCACAGCAAGCAGCAAATTGTGGATGCTTTTTGTTGGATTTAGGGGAGGGGCAGGGGACTTGTGATTCCGAATGTGAGGAAATACACAGCCGCTACTGGACTTTGTATCCCTGAGTCAACACTCCAGTGTTCCAAATTTAGTAAATTTGTGAAATCCCTGTGATTGGTTGCTCTGTGCATGACTGACCCCCGCAGGGATCTCACAAAAATCTGAAACCAAAGTCCATGACATTTCCCAGACTTCTGGGATCAAATTATGACAATTTCCAGGCAATTTTGCGGAGAAAAGTTAGGTATTATGAGCTGGAAGACTGCCATTTCCACAACTATAGACTGCCAAGAATAATCTCTAAATTTTTCATTTACCCATTACCATACAAATGCAGCCCGTCAAATATAATCCCATGCATTATCTTTACTTCCATAACTATTTCATGACTTTTTTCTCTAGGGTGTCCAGGATTCCTGGACACCCTATTTTTTCCAAATTTTCCATGACCTTTGCACGATTTTCTGGGACAACTTTTTTCCAGGAATTTTGAAGATTTTCAAAACCATGGAAACCCTTTAAGTTCTTGCTGGTCTCGATAGTTTTTAACAATGACCAACCTGTTGGGCAGAGCGAGCACTCCGTCCAATTCACCAATTTCCGGACGTCGTCTGCCGTGTAGGTGCCATTGGGGCAGGGGGTGGGCTCAACGGACCCCACGGGACAGTAGGAATAGGCGCTGCAGGGCTCCGGCACACTGGTGTTGACCATGCAGAAGAAGCCCTCGGGGCAGACCTCGCAGTTTGTCTCGGCTGTCGAGGGCTGGTAGGTGCCTGGTCAAGAGAATGAGGCATCTCAAAATTTGAGACAGGTTTGGTGGACTGGAGGTCCTGAAGGAAGTAGGCCTGTCCAAGTCAGTAACTGCCCCTCCTTATAACATACATGTATATTCAGCAAGAAATAAGACCGAGGGGTACCCCCCCAAGTGTCCAATCGCTACACACACTCTGGACTAATGTTACCCAACACACACACACACCCCCCATGCCATGAAAAGAATTCCTCAGATTCCAGTGAAACAATGACCAGCACAAAGCAGGGGGGGTTCTCTCTGTCTCATACCTTGCTTCAAATGCAATAGCAAAAACGATAAGGATCAAAATCATCTATTGTTGGGATGTGCCCCCCTTGCTGGTACTGTGCCCCCCTTGCTGGTACTGTGCCCCCCTTGCTGGTACTGTGCCCCCCCCTTCTTCCTGAAGCTGACAACAGGATTGGAAGGAAGGGATCTTGTAACAAAATTCTTAAGATAGACTTTTATGCATCATCAGGACAGGTTCCAGAGCCTAGTTTTGATCTACATGCTGGTGTGAAAGTGATGAGCAATCACATCTGGGGAATAAGATTCAACAGCATAACTGTTTGAATCGGGATAATCAAGGATCCTCCAAATTTTTCTCTGAAGCCAACTCTGTTCTTTGTGTTTCTCGCATGAATATGTACATCCAAACTCGAACAAGTACTGCACTGTGAGCAAAACAATTTCTTCATCGATGCCACTATTAAAAAAACCACAACGTGCAAAATGTTCATTTTGTACTTGAAACAAAAAATCCCAACACTTCAGAGGGACGACCAACAACAACGTTATGGCAACAGCAGCCCAACCTAGGACATAATTACTGCAGTTGGTGGTTGTGTAACTTGAGCTTTTCTGTCTGAATGTAAACACCCTATGGCATTTAATTCGCTGATACATTACACATTCAGCAATTGAGTGTTGCACTGAAGAGGAAGTCAGACCACTGGAATAAGCCTTTTGTGATCTGAATTTCAATAAAATCTGGTACACTAAGTCTCCACACTGTTGCTTTTACCTCACGATTCGAGGCAAGCTAGTGCTTAGTTACTTATAAGGACACCTTGCACCAATACACTGTTTTCAATGGATAGGAAGGGCACAAAGGAACCAGTCCATTTCAATGATGGTGGCCGCTATGCGAAAGCTTGCACGGAATCACGACGTATAGCAACAGTGTCTTTAGTCTGGGGAATTCAAATTGTTATGTTTACATGCAATTGGATAAAGTGTACCAGATTTTATTCAAATTTAACTCCCAAAAGGCTTATTGAAGTCCAACAGTTTTAAGCTCTGCAGATATCTGAACTCTACCTGGGTTGCAAGCCACTGGTGTCGCCGTCTCATTCAAGCAGAAGAAACCGGCCGGGCACTCGTACCCCACAGGCTCTGGGGAGTCAATCACCGCATCACTGGGGCAGTAATAGCGCTCTGAGCAGACGCCCGTTGGTGCCGACAGGCCCGTGCCCTGGCAGAAGTGGCCCGCCTCACAGGGGAGGCAGTCATCCTCAGACTGGCCGCCCGTGTCGGGGTTCATGGTTCCCGGGGGACAAGGAGTGGCAGAGTGGGTGCCTGAGAGGGTGTAGAAAGAGAACAGCAGAACAAGAATTTGAGGATATCACTGATTACTGCCGGAACTTGAACCGTTCATTTTTCATTGCAAATTCAGCAACAGAATCACTGACAGAGGACAGTAAATGAAGTCAGTAACCTACAGGGAGAAATAACTTTGGGACTATGAATTCATAGAAATACTTTTACCATATGCTGCCGGGTCTAAATTGAAATTGCATGACAAGTTCCCGGGGGGATTGAAAAGATTTTCCGTTTTCAAAATTCTTCAAAAATTCAAAACTTTATTTACTGGACTTTTACACCCACACGGATGACTGTCTGGTGGCTACTCTAATCTGACAGGAATTATCTATAGACGCCCGAGTATTTCAGCCTTATAATCTTGGTGGAGCCCATGGGTGAAAACCACTGCGCCTGCATATGATGCTTCCATAGATCTCACAAGCAGGCCACAGGGCAACATCTGCAGTCCAAAATCAAAACACCACTCACCGTTCTCGCAGTAGTGGCCGACCTCGCAGGGCCCGTTGGTCCCGTCGTTGGGGCTGGAGTTAGCGGCCCCCAACACGCAGAGAAAGCCTGCGTCACAGTCCCCGGTGGGCCAGGACAGGGCTGGCGTTTCGCAGTACATGCCCAACAGGCATTGCTGGCACTCTGCTTCCTCCTTCAGAGACAGCTGGTCACTGAAAGTTCCTGGAAGACGTCACACAGACAGCAATGAAGGTGAACAGTGTCATTAACCCTAACCCCCAAGGGTGTATGTAAAATCGTATTGAAATTGAAGGATTTGGGACTGTTGGGGTCAATAATTAGAAATTTCAGTATAGGTGCACATCTCACAAACCCTTTCACACAAATGATCACCTTCATAAAACAAACTGACCACAATTTGCGCTGATCTCAAATCAAATGTGTAACTTTTTCACCTACCAGGAAAGCTCTTTTGTCTTACAAGGAATCAGTTGTAGCTTTTCCAGGCTTGTCTCCTTTGCTACACTGCAACTTCATCACTACAAGAAGTTGACTCATTTTTGGGGGGAATTGACAACTTCACATCAGATGAAAATCTATTTTCTAGTATTGCACAACCTCGAAGAAAATAATACAGAAACAGCACCAGTGTCAATCTGTAAATTCACCCTATCAAAGTTGGGTAAGGGATCGACGAGCTACTTTTATGACGACAATTTCTAGTCTCAAGCATCCGATTTCAGGGAAGTCCTTAACTGGGGAATTACTGCAAGTCGGGTCTGGACTACAGCACTGCTGATCACAGCCTACCTGCTGGGCAGGACTCGCCATTATCGTCCGTCCCCTCCTGGCAATAGTAGCCTGCTGGACAAGGCAGGGTGGTGTTCATCCCTTTCTCAGGACAAGTTGATCCTGGAAGAAAAAAGAGAGCATCGTGATGATGGCCATTTCCTTTGACCGAGAGACACTAGTAGTAATCCACCTATTCAGAATAATCCAAACATATGGATTGGAACATCTAGTGTATTCACGGTGCTACTGCAGAACATCAAGATCTTACTATGATGTAAAGTTTGAATCTCAACTGCTGTCAAGGTGCAAGTTTATAAGACTCAACTGGCTTAAAAAAAAAGGTACAGATAAACGATACAGACAGAGAAACTGAGTGAGCTTTGTGTGTGTCAATATCGTTATCTGCCCTGAGCTGAAGTGCACCCTCACCGGCAAAAGAAAGATAGTCTGGTAAAAAGTTTTCCAAATGGGTTCCTGCATGCATTTGGCACACATGGAAAGACCATACATGTACATTCCAGCATAAGTTGCGCGCACTCAGTGTGCCACACACTCGCATATACTTACATGCCTACTCGGTAAGTTCCTACCATAGGACCGTCGTTTTAATTTGAAAACTTTCCTCTGTTGTTCGCAGCGGATTATGTGAGGGCAGCAGAGTGTAATTTATGCCATGTGCTAGGCTGCATTCCATTCGCCATAATACCCCATAATTTTGCGACATGAAAATATATATTTTTAAACATGTCATACAAAACTAGTCTTGCGTGCCACATACTACGAGTGTTCTGGTTTAAGGCTCGACACTAAAACCCCAAAGCCTATGCTTGTATACACTGCGCCATGACTGAGGCTGTAGGATTTCTAAGAACTGCCAATTTTGTGCACATGCAGTTGAAAATGTTCGACAGTTGTCAGGCATCGTTCTGGCTGATGACTTGCACTTATGGACAAAAGCTGTTGAAAATATTCAGTGCACCTTCACATGGATTATTGGAGTCCCTTTTGCATGAATATGCCACTGAACTGTGCACATTCAATTAAAAAATGGTCATGTGTGCTTCATGACATAATGGCTGCCTGCTTGACTCCAATGCTTACAACTGCCATATACATGCGAAATATCTTCACTCAGATAAAAGGGCGTGGACAAATGTAGGGTTCTCACACAATGCCAAACAGGGGCTTACTTTCTGGGCATGGCAGACAGGCTCCCAGACCGACACGAGGGGCGTAGGTGCCTTTGTCACAGGGAATCTCCATGGGTGCTCCCGACTCACAGTAGTGCCCCTCAGGACAGATGTAGCCCCGGATTCCGTCCGAGGGGTCAGGGATGTCTGAGCCCCCTGTGCAGATGTAGCCAGGATCACAAGGGGGTGTGACACCTTAAAGCAGGAAAAAAAGGCACAGATTTTTTTTACAAAAAAAACTTCTTGTTGTCTCTACACTATCCTACCAAAGTGTAAGGAATCTTGATTTCTTTTGGAGACTAATTCCAGACAAGTCGACAAAATCTGACGGATACAAACTTAGACCTATTAAAATGTATGACAAAAGAGAAATCACACGTGATGTTTTGCCAAATTGATGTTTGTTTGTCCTGCGATGACAGATTTTGCATCAAAGCCAAATGTAAGAAATGTGACCCGACAAGCTGTTTTCAAAGTCACTTGGCCTTTTACCATTCTGGGAGCTGTTGACGTTGCAGTAGTGTCCTATCTCGCAGGCGGCGCAGTCCGTCACGTTCTTGTTGCCACGCCCGGACGAGATGGTGCCTGCGGGGCAGGGAGTTGGCAGGTAGCTACCCTCCAGGCAGTAGCTACCCTCCGGGCACAGGTTAGGGGTGGGGTTATCATCGCCTCCTTCGCAATAATACCTGAGGATGGAAAATGCATAGGGGACTTGCGCATACCATCTTTGCCAAAAAGGGTCAATATTTTTGGTCATTCATCTCACATGCAAAAAAAAGGTTCTTTCGATCTCCTTCCCTGAAAGCGAATGCAAGAAAGGATGTTTGCAGATCAAGCTTCTTCTATGAAAGCGCACACAAAGGCCGCCCACCCGTTCTGTCCTAGCACTCTTTTTGTACGCTTACGAAAAAGGATGGGAAAAATGAACAACTTTTAAACTTTGAAAGGGCCTTTGTTTTTTCTGGACCATCGTACAGCTGCTGGGAGGGGTACCAGGTGATTCTGACTCAACCATCCCATGATCTTTGCTGTCCCAAAGACAATCTTTGTGAAAATTGGTACCCATGCAAAGACAGTTATTATGAGTTCCCTTCAATTTGGTTACATTCTTGGATATTTTAGGACGTTCCTTGCAAACATGCGGTAGAGGTTTGGGTTTATAGTACATGCACAAGGACTGCATAGATGGGTTTCAGTTCCCAAGTTTTGGAATGCCCAAAATTAATTGAAACATCAGGTGGCTACCCAAGAAGTCTTCCCAGAACTATATTTTCACCACTCATTCCAATATTTTTCTACAGTGTTTAACACAATGAATACCTTCAAGCCTTCTATTGAGGAATTTCCCCTGGAATCTAAGCTTACCCTGCATAACACAGCCCCTCCGGTGCACTGAGCCCAGGCGAGAGACAGTAGTATCGGGCCAGGCACGGCTGGCACCAGCTCACGTTGACGGCGTTGGTCAGGTTGCTGAAGGTGCCCGGTGGGCAGGGGTGCTCGTTTGCCCTCTTGGTCCCCGCCAGGCAGTAGTAGCCAGCTGGGCAGTCTGAGCCATCAAGGTTGATGACGGCAGCGATGGTATTGTCGCAGAAATAACCTGAGGAGGGGAAGGAACGCGCATGAATGGTACGGCAGTCTTTCTACCGTTGGTGGTAGATGAACATTTAAAAGTCTTCCAAGTTTGGATTGACTGTAAGAAGATTCAAAAGGTATCCTGGTCTGGGATCCCAGGGCATGGTGAGAGTCTAGGTGTAGCCGTTATGCCTGATGAACCAGTTTGATATTCAACAGTGTAGAGATCTGTGGAATACTTAAAAAACTGACTTCATAACTGACATATCAAAACTGGCAGAGAATAATAAAGGTTGTAACTCTTGAAAATAAGGGTAAGAACTTACGTTGAATTTGAAACATTCAACAGTGTATAGATCTGTGGAATACTGATAAAACTGACTTCATAACTGACCTATCAAAACTGGCAGAGAATAAAAAAGGCTGTAACTGGGAATTTTCATTGAACCTGAAAAACGTTTACAAAACTTTTCCAATACTGTTGAAACGTTTAGCCAAAACCTTTTACAGAGCCCACTGCCGTCTACCTCGGTGTTTTCATATATGCATAATTATATAGTTCAACAATGCACATGATCCAACCAAAGTAAACTTGTAGATTGATGTTGGGGCATTTAAAACAAGCAATGTTTATTGTTTTAGAATCCACTTTTTTCTCAAAAAGTACATGGATGCCAAAAGGAAAACAGTATGTAACAGGTATCGTTTACAATAAAAATGAACGTCAGATTGCATCAATCAAAACATCAAATCTCTAAAAGGGGTGGTTCCATTTAAATGTTTGTGAAAATCTGTAAATGGATTTGGAACTTTTTTCGTTTGAACGTTTAAACTTGTAAACATCCCACCCTTAATTGGAAAGTTTGAGAGACCCACAACTATGAGGGTGAAACTATGCAGCGAAGAGCTGAATCCCATCTCAGAGATTTCAATACCAAAAGTATATGCAAACAAATACACAAACAGACAAACAACAGAATTAACCGGTGCTCAGGGCAACATTTTTTACCTTCTTCACAGAGCAGACAGTCTGACTTTCCTTCCTCGTCTTGGTATGTGCCGTTGTTGCACCGCTCTGGGTTGGGGAAGTTCTCTTCGCAGAAGTGGCCTGCTGGGCATAGGTAATCGGCCGGAGTTGGTGTCTTCTGTCCAGGTGGGCAGTAGTAGCCTATTTCCCCCAACAGAAAAACAAAAGAGGTTATTGACTACTGAATGATATTTTATGGACACTCCGTTCAACACCAGAAGTGCTGGAGGTGGGATTTATCCTCACCTAATTTTTCTCGGATATCGTCAAAATTCTGTTAGCTGTGGCAAGACATCAGCAGTTTCCAGGCTGATATGCTAGCTCTGGAGATGTGGACACAAACTTGTTTATGATGTCCCCTTTTTTGTACAACAGCATATGTTAAAAGTGTTTAATTGTCTCCAATGGCATATGCCAAATGCTGCGGCATATCGTTGGGAGGGGGACAAGAGGCCAACTTCTCCCCTCCCCAAGATATGTTTCCAGCTTTTGGGGGCTTTTATATTTCGGAGTTCACCTCAGTGAAGCCTTCCCTAGCAAGCGGGAGGTTGAGGAATCTAATAAGGACGAAACATTTGGGCATTTATTATTAGAAACAGTCCCCAATCCCCTTCTTTCACCCGTGGCTCAAAACAAGGATACACCTTTGACTCAACACACAGACAGACACACCCAGGTGGTGAACTAGAACAGATGATAACAACAAAACCCTGCACCTAACCCTTCCCTCAGAGACCCAAAACAACAAAGGGCCACAGCTGTGTTTTTGCATTTAATGCTAATGGTTACACATGAGCGACTCCCAGATATGCGTTTGACCATTCATGCCCTGAACACAACCGTTGCCTATCAAAAGACACCAAAATGACGCCAAAAACACTTATGTGCATGATGCCACGACTGTCACAACCCGAGAGAGACCGAGCAATTGGCATGCTCCAAGCCGGAAGGAACCAATGGGCAGTAGCCAAGCTATTCGGGTCCACCACTCAACAATTGTGCATCTTGAACAGTGCTACAACACTCATTTTGTTTGTATTGTTAAAAATGAAACAAAGATCAGATTACTGGGCTAAAATGTGAAGGACCTATGAGATTCTAACACATACATTTGATTTTGCAAAATTTGGGCTAAAATTTAAAAAAATGTCAGGGGTGCAGTTCTTTTTTCCCTGAGTGTATTCAAGTTGTTCAGGGGTTCCTTGTACAAATTTTCTTTTGCTCTTAGCATGAACTGTGAAGGAGCGAATAAAGAGGATTTTTCTTTAACAAGTTGTGGTCTCTAAACGTGTTCATGTTCATTGGTCTCTGTCATAGTGTCGCTAGTGATTCAAAACGACGTCACACAGGACATGGTTTTTTTTACACATTTCAGACCCTGACAAACATTCTGGATGGGTCCCGAAGCATTTTTAAGGCTTGGTAATTGGTCATTTTTGGGACATTCCCCAACTCGTACCCCATACCTTTGTGCACAAACTCATATGTCTGGAAATTGGGCCTACTTTTTGATGATTTAAAGCATTTCAGACAATTCTGGGCGAGTGCCAACTTGTCCCTAATCACTTTATGTACAAGCCAACTTGTCCCCATATACCGTAGAGTGCGAAGATGACGTCAGGCAGGACATGGCTTTTTTACGCGTTTGGATCTGAGTAAAACTCCTCATACAAGTACTAATAACGTCTATGTACCTAGCTTACAACAGAATTGCCCACGGGAAGGTTGAGATCCTGGGGGGGGGGGAGGAATCTACACACGACAACACATACCCCTTGAGCAGACTCCGCTTGTCATCGAGGCTCCCGTCTCGTTGCAGAAGAAACCTGCCTGACAAGGCAAGCAATCCTCGGGACCGTCCTGCCCCATGGAGGGGTTGTAGGTGCCGTTGAAGCAGGGAATGGGGAGGCCCGTCCCCTCTGGGCAGTACCGGCCCACGGTGCACTGGCGCTCCTCAGGACTGGAGGAGGCCTCAGGGCAGTAGAAGCCTGGGCTACAGGGCCCTGCCGGCGAGGACAGGCCCGTGCTGTTGCAGTGCTGGCCCGGGGTGCAGGGCTGGGGTTGGGCCGAGCCTTCCATACAGAACTGGCCCGGCTGGCACTCCCCGCCATTCACAGTGGGCTGAAAAAATTGAAGGCACAAACTCTAAGCATTTAAGCAAGATTTTGTTCTGTCGGAACAATTACAATTCAGGTTTGGCTGTTCTGTTCTGACAACCAAACTCCACCTCTCTTGAACTAAATCTGGATCTACCTCTGGTTCTGTAGAAGAAATATGCAGGCGCTTATAAAGGGTGGCAAATACCCCAATGAGGTCTTGGGTACTACAGGGATATGAGAGGTCACTTAAAAAACAGCTAGCAAAAAGCTGAAATGTAAAAACTCCCCATACTTTTGTGCAGACCAGGTATAAAAAGCTGAAATTCAGGGTCAACATCTAAACAAAAAAAATGCTAAAATCAGTTAAAAAGATGAATTGTAACAACAGTGATTCTAAAACCAAAGTGCTCTTTAAGTCAGTCATGCAACTTGGGCTTTGACAAAAAACCTAGAAATCCCAATCATGACAAGACTTTGTACAGTGTTTTTCAATTATCAATGGCAGGAGTGTGTGAAATGAAAAACAAGCAAATCAGCTGACCCGAGGAAGAGTTGCATGCCTGTAAAAGCTGTGAATGCCTCTGAAATGCTTTTGCAAACTCTGAACCTTTAACCTGTGAGGGAAGTATTTCTTCCAAACCTTTTTCTGCAATTATCAGTTGCTCATGTAATATGGAAAGTGGTTAACATTGACACAGACTCAAATTTCCATGACAGGGAATAGACATTGTGTGGCGTAACATGTTGACTGCCCGGTTTTCACCAGTCAATGAGACAAACCTTTTTGGGTCTGGTCACAGAATGGGAAGCTTAAAGACATATAATCGCATAGACCGCCAGGTCTTATTCAAAACTACAGGGGTTTTTCGTGATCAGCGCAGCGCCCGACTAAAATCAAAACTATGGGCAAATTCACCCCTCAGTATAGGGAATTTACGCACAGTTGAAGCATTTCAGAATGAAGCCATTTTTCGATTTAAAAAAATCCTCAATTTTCTTAATCTGGCCCATAGGGATTCAAAACAATACGGTTGCAACATTAGAAGAGCAAAAGAAGCGAACGTATTTTGGGAGCACATGTACACAAATACAGACAGTGCATTGTACGTGATGCGCACTGAATCGCTGCCATCCATCGCTTCGCTTATTGTTTGTCCATACTTTTCAAAATTGCGGTTTAACGTGCAAGAACGATGGTCTATGCGTTAATATGTCTGTGGTAAAGTTCAAGCCCTACCCTGGACTCGTTGGCACCACCCGAGCAGTAGAACCCAGCGCTGCACTCGGCCGTGGGCCGGCTGTTTCCGTAACCCTCGCAGTACCAGCCCGGGGTGCAGGCCACGCAGGCCTGGGGCCCCTTCTGTCGGGTCAGGTTGTTGAAGGTGCCCGGCGGGCAGGGGTGGGCATAGGGGTCCGGGGTGTTGAGCGGACAGTAGTAACCCGTTGGGCATTCGTTCGGGGTGTAGTCCGTGGTGTTGAGGTAGCAATAGTGGCTCTCTGGGCAGGGTAGGCAGGCCGACTGCTGGACCTGATCCTGATAAGTGCCAGCCTCACAACCTGTTAAAAAAAACCAGATATAATATGCAATCAAAATATGGCCCCAGAATGCATCAAAAAATCTGACTGTTCACCCCTCAAGAAAGACAATGTTTCTCAGAAGTTTACACCACAATCTTAATGTTGCCTTAAAAGAAAAATAATATACACATGTACATTTATGTTGTCCTAAATGTTTCCCTTCTTAATAGAATTATGATTTTTGTGTATTCTTTCTTATTGTTTCAACCTGTATTTAATGTATTTTTTAACTTTCAATTTTAACTGTTATATTTTGTATTTTACTAATTAATTTTCAGTTTTAACACATTGTACAGCGCTCTCAGATACTTTTTTTATGGAGGGCGCTTTATAAAAATTCTGTATTATTATTAACTGCAACTAGAATACATATTGTACATATGGTTCTGTCATGAAGCAATTCTGAGTGAGGAACCACAAGTATGTAGGGGAAGGTCGTGGTCAATTAAGGCCGGAAACTGGGCTTATGAGAAGGTCGTAAAAATGAAATCTAAGGGACTGGAAGTGGTCGTGGCTGACCACACTATATCTTGGACTGACCACACTAACCTTCTGGAAGTGCACAGATATTTTCTCAGAAATTAGATGGGAATAAGATGGGTTATAAAGAGGAGGAGAGAGAGGGGAAGAGGGTCTTCGAGATTTTGACTCGCTATGTATCCCATCTGCTAGCACTACTGTAGAAATAAATAAGTATACATGTAGATTAGCAGAGAAAGGTGATCATGTGAGATTGTCAGAAGTACAACGGTTAAAGAAGATGAAACTACATTACAGGTTCTTATAAATAGTTATCAGTTTCATAGTACACATTACTTTAAATGATTTAATCTTTTTTTTCCGTAGTGATTTACTTTCTATGTAATGTATCTCACGGTGGCATGGCCAGGTGCAAGCTCAAGCCTGCTGCCAGCCACCACCATTTGTCCTCTTCAGCTGTAGAGATTGTAATCTAGTGCCAAACTACTTGCTATAGTGAGAGTGACGTTTGGAAATAAATCAGATCTAATCAAATCAAAGTCCCAACAGTTGTCGATAAATTTCAATACAATGGTAAAAAATGTCACAGTGTCACAGGAAAGGAACACAGGTTTTGAACAACTCCTCCAACAAAAATCACAGTTAAAATGCTAGACAGAAGATTTTGTATTTGACTGAATTTAATTTTAAGCCGACAGGCGTACACATCACAGTGTATATCTGCGGAGTCAACCAAAGGTGAATTTATTACGTCCATCATTACTTACAGAATGATTTCTCATATGCCATGTTAAGAGAATAAAAATGCCTAGAAAATGGTAATTCTTTGGAATGGAAAACTTAGGTTCCTTACCGGTAGGATACTGAGATCCCCGCTCGCAGTAGTGGCCCTTGGGGCAAACATCGCCAATAACCGGATGAACGGTACCTGTCGGACACTGGTCCCCACCCACCATGACTGGATCTGACTTGTCAACGCCCGACACACAGTAGTAGCCCGCGTTGCACTCGGCTGAGGGCGCAGTCAGATTCACGCCCTGGCAGTACATGCCGCCGTCGCAGGGTGTGCATTCGGCTGCTGCGGCCAGGCCGTCTGACTGGCCGTAGGTGCCCACCGGGCAGGGCTGGTGGTCGTGGCCCGTGCCGTTGGGGCAGTAGAACCCGCGGGTGCAGCGGTGGTAGCTGGTGGAGCCGTCACCTTCAGTAACCAGTTCAGGAATGCAGTAAAATCCTGGTAGAGGCAATTCAATCATAAATCATTACTTCTGAGTCACAGAGCAAAAGAACATTGGACTTGCTCAGATAGCAATGACTGAATTAAGTAATTAGTGCAGACAGCTCTGCTGGGTCATCTACTGGCTGGAAGACAACATAAAGAAACAATTGCAAGTCTAGCTGCCTGCACATTCAGAGATTTCCTTTCTGGACAAAAACGTGACTGCAGGGAACGTCATGCAATGGCCACTGTCTCAGCAGCCCTATGACGATTTGTGCTGACACCAAGACTGGTTCAATACTGCCTTCCCACATCACGTAAAATCCTCCAAAAACCTTCAGATTGACACTTTTAAAGGACCCAGATTCAATCCATAGTAACCCTTACCTTCCGGGCAGACAGAGCACTCTGAAGCACCCTCGTAGTCCACGTAGGTACCAGCTACACAGTCCTGGGGCTCGGCACTCTGTAGAGGGCAGTGTTTACCCTCTGGGCATATCACCTGGGTAGCTGAATTAGACCCAGAGGGGCAGTAGTACCCAGGATGGCACTGACCGGTGACCTCCGTGTTGGCTGTACAAGAAATATTTACAAATTTTATATGTACTGCTGATTTTCAGGCTATTTTAGGACTTCAGAATTATGTTAAAGGTTTATCCTTCTTTCCTATATATTTTTGAAGAAGTAATACATACCTTCAAAGGACAGGCGTAACATTTAACCTTTTTTAAAGCTGAGAAATTTCTGTGAGCACTTTTCAATTTTTTTTAAAGAATTTTCTTCAAGTACCGTTAACTCTATGTTACGACTTGAAGATATTTTCACATGAGATAAATTAGTTCAAAGTGGCAAGCTAATTTCTGAATTCGTTTTCCAAAGCATGGATATCACAGGAAACAATTTACCAGTTCCCTGGCAGTAGAAGCCAGCCGTGCAATCCAGGCATTCCGACTCCACGGCCAAGCCTGTTACGTTGGAGAATGTTCCACTGGGACACGGGCTAGGATTGAACGTGGTCCCCTCACAGTAGTACCCCTCAGGACAAATGGTCTGGTCCGGGCGGGTGGAGGACTCGTCGCAGTAGAAGCGAGGAAGGCAGGGCCCACTCACTTCAGTTTGAGCTGCACGTATAAAGACAGGACAAAATCACAGGCAAACCATTTCTACACTTACAAGACAATGCAACACGAATAACCCGAAAGGCACAATATAGAACAGGCAATTCCCAAATACAGTGCTCAATCAAGAGGGTTACCATGGAAAGGCCACTGATTGAATTGGATGTTTTGAGAAACTCCGATTTCCTATGAAAACGGCACCCACTGTCATTTCCTTGATTTGTCACTTGTTTTGTCCGGCACTAAGTTCTGATTTGATAGTGCCACGGAGTTGGATCAAGAATCAAACCAGACATATTAAACTGGGAAATGGTTTTCAGCAGGTTCTTCTCACAACCATCATCTCAACACTCGCCAGATAATTATTTCTCCTCACTACTACACCAAAAACTTCCGAAGACGGTCCACGTACCTGTTTCATTGCAGAAGTAGCCAGCCGTGCAGTTGAGGCACTCCTCCACCCTCTTCAGCTTGGTGGCAGGGCTGAATGTCCCCTCTGGGCAGGCGTCTGGTTCCACAGTACCCTCCATGCAGTAGTAACCAGCAGGGCATTCATCATTCAGTGGGCCTGGCAAATCAATGAATAAAACAGTCATGAATGAATGGACTGGCCATGAGGTAAATATAATTAATACTTTGTGAGTCTGTGACTGGTTTTAGGAACAGTACCATACCCATGTAGTTATTACCAGCAGGACATTGATGGACCAATGGCCCAAGACAGACACACATACAACAAATGAATGAATAGCTAGGGTAAAGACATTATGATGAATAACTCATGAGTATTGTCTGGCTTCCCATAAGTCCAGTTCCAGAATTAAACTACTGCAAATGGACCCTCCAAAGGAGCACACGAGCAGAAATGCATGTATAACAATTGATTCGCTCAAGAATTATACAACCAGGAATAATAAATAAGTTCTTTTGCAATAATAATCTGCAGCATCAGCCAGTGATCAACAAAGCAAAAAGACAGGGCAGAAAATTAAATTCCTCATGAATAATTCATGAGTTGGAGTGACTCAACGGTTTTGTTTGCTACTCACCATCTGTGGGTGTGGTGATGTTGGCTCCCTTCCTGCAGTAGTAGCCAGCTTCGCAGGGCCTGATGGGATAGACCAGGCCGGGTTCATCGCACGCCATCCCGGGCAGGCACGGTGTGCAATCAGCTTCGCTCATCAATCCTAGCAAAATGAGAAAAGTCAACTTTTTGAAACATCCAAAACAGACACCTTGGAAATCCTGATATGCACATCTTGGGCCCTGTGGGTTGTTCTATGTTCTTTGTCAGCACTTTTAGGGGGAAAATTTCTGGTTTTCCAAAATGATCAACTACACAGTAAATACCAAGGGTGCATGTTTTGTATGTCCATTTTCAAAGGGCATCAAACTCTAGGTGAAAAAAGTAGCAGTGGCCGGGCTCTACCTTCTTCAATCCTGCAACATCTTTCCAAAACTTACTGACAGGTTTTCAAAGGATACGGAGAGGGGTTACAGATGGGATAGGGTGGTACAAAGTAACATGGCTGAAAGAAAGGTTGGCAGAATAACTTTGACCAGATCAGAATGTCATCATTTTTATATACAGCACTTTGTGATTAAGTATTGGCTCAAAGATAATGTTAGTGAGTTGGACTCTACCTGTCAGGTTGTTGAAAGTGCCATACGAGCAGGCAAATTCCTCCGCGTAGGTTGTCCCATTCGGGCAGTAATACCCACTCGGGCAGACGTAGGAACCGTACCACACAACAGGGCCAAGGGTAGCGTTACAGTAATGCCCAGCTGGGCAGTCCTTGCAGTTCCACCGTCCAACCGTGTCCTGGTAGGTCCCTGATGGGCAGGGCTCGGGGTCGCCGTAGCCAACCCCGCAGAAGTGACCCTGGGGGCAGGTGTAGTCTGGGGGCGTGGCCGTCACCTGACCCTCAGGGCAGTAGTAGCCCTGCAGGCAGTCGCCCACAGGAGTAGGCAGGCCCTCGCGGGGGCAGAAAACACCCTTGGTACAGATCTTGCAGCTACTGTTGGCACTCTGCTCCGTGGCATCCTGGTAGTAGCCGACTGGGCAGGGCTGAGGCTCAGAGGAGCCCACAGGGCAGTAGTAGCCCTGGGGGCACACATTGCCTGTGGTGTTGTCAGTGGGATTGCCGACAGAGGCACCCAGGGTGCAATAGAAGCCTAGAGAAAGACACCAACAGAAAGTAATGAAATCACAAGTTCCCACTCATGGGTTACTCCTGAAAGTTTTTGGAAGTAGTTTTTGTAAGCAGTTTCTGTAGAAATTCTTTATTTTTGTGTTTTATGTTTCTAATAAATAGGATGGAACTTTTCTAGTATTCATGATGAATAAATAAAGCGAGACTGACACTGACTACTCAGATTTCATTGATAAGAAATTGCTTTTTCTCGTTACCCTGTTGGCATTCCAAATGCGGTGCAGCCAGTCCAGCCCTCTGGCAGTAGTAGCCAGGGTCGCAGGGGATGGCGTGGTCGGTGCCCCCCGGGCAGTACTCCCCTGGGTCACACTGGCCGCCGATGGCCGGGTCTGTTGGGGTGGGGCTGGAAGCTCCCTCAATGCAGTACCAGCCCTCGCTGTGAGAAAAGGGGGAGAAAGAGGCAACAGTGATAAACGTTTAATGCGTCGTATGTGAAGCACTCTCGACCGATGGTATTATAAAGGCAAAAGCTGGAAGATCGGCACGTTGAGATCTGCTTGGGATTTGAGGTTCAACAGAGGGAGTTAGGGGAGGGTCATGCAATTGGGCTAGGGATGGGTTGAGAGCTAGGGTTAGGGATGGGTTGAGAGTTGGAGTAAGAGTTTTGGCTTTGCTGGTGATCTGCATCAGGCACAGATTTGGAAGTTGGGTTCAATAATTCAATCGGCAGTGTGATGATAAAGGAATCAGGATTAGGGTAGAGAGTGGACTTGAGTTGGGGTTACGAACCATCTCATAAAGCCATCTGCGATAAGTGGTAAGTAAATCCACTCTCACCAGCAAGCAGCTATGCAACTGTCATCGATGTTTCCCAGATATGTATTCATTAGTGACTTGTCAACCATTTAACAATGGATCTTTTCCACAAAATATGCAATTTGAGAGATGGCTCCGTAGGATTTCATGCATTTATGGATTAAGAACTGTACCTGCAGTTGGACGTGGGTGCATCGTTGCCACTGCCCAAGCAGTAGGATCCTGCCGTGCATGCTGCGCAGGCTCCCTCATCAACCTGCTGGGGTAAGGGGTTGAACGTCCCCGGCGGGCAGGGGAACTCATTGGACATGGTGGTGCCGTTGGGACAGTAGTGGCCGGTGGGACAGACGTTGTCCACGTAGGTAGTGGTGTTGGCCAAACAGAAGAAGCCTAGAAACAAAAACAAAAAAATGATGAGATGCAACAAAAACTTGGTATGTTATCAAGAAATGATTCAGATCATCCATAATGATTCAGATCATCCAAGCTGACTTGGGATCTTTAATAACTACCTTGCAAGCAAGTGAATTATTCAGCTCTATCATTTTCATGTACGTGAGTGTGTGGTAGAAAAATGAATCACTGTCTTTCTGCAGGGGTAAGCAAAGTCAAGGGGCCACAAATCCTGCCTAAAAATTAAATAACTTTTCTTTTTTGTGAAAGAAAGAGCTTGTCATGCAAGGCAGTATTTACCTGCCATGGAAATATAGCCAGGAAGCAGTGGAAACAGAAAGGTAATTATTTTATAAAATTGTTGGTTTTTCCATTACAAAAGTCCTTTGGGCAATTTTAGATGCTTATAACTTGTTAGAAATCTATCATAACGTGGAAATCTTTTACTTGCAATGTGGTTATCAAAGCACCAGACACATGAGCGCAACATTCTAAATAAATTTAGTTTAGTGATGTTTGAAATCCTGCTTACCTTCAGGGCACACCTTGCAGCTGCCCTGGCCCTCTTGGTCCTGGTACTCCCCGGGCTCACAGCCGATGGGAAGCACCGTCCCCTGGGGGCACCGGTGACCTGTCGGGCACACCCCTCCCACCCCTGTGTGGCCCCCGAGGATCGGGCAGGTGGCCGGGTAGGTCTCGTTCTCCGAGGGGTTGTTGGGGTTGGAGCGGTCTATGCCCGAGTCGCACCAGTAGCCCTCGTCGCAGGGGAGGCTGTAAGAGGTGGCTGCATCATTAGGGCAGTAGTAGCCGCCGGGGCAGTCGGTGCACTGCTGCACCTGTTAAAAATGATGAGGTGAAATTGTCATTCAAGTCTGCCAAATGTTCTTTTGTCATCACTGCAATTACCATCAGTAAAGCAACCAGTCCTAAACTTAAACTTATGCAGACTGCTGGTCAAAATGAGGGGTGGGACATGGACCCCTGCCCACTCATACACCCTTCTGCATGCTTGTTCCGTGTTTATTGACCCAGGAGCATTTGTTTCATTTGACATTTAAAATCCCCCCTGCACCATTCCCACCCTCCCCCAAATTCAACTAACTATACTCTCCAAGGAAAAAAAGCAGTTTGGTGTTGGGTGCCACAGATGTATGACAGCGCAACCTAAAAAGAGGCATTCAGTGTTTCAGAAGATGTGCGCAACTGTCGCCTCACTGGTAGAGAGAGACTACACAGCACCCAAGTAAATACGTCACACGTGTAATCATGTGTGTAAAAGGCAACAGCACGAGAACCAGCGCGAGAACCATGCGCACATACTCCATTCGTTTGCACTACACCTCTTTGTTCAAGTGACTTCACACTTCAGTACTCTGCAGCCAAATGCTTCTGCCACAGTGCCTCGTCTCAACTTGTACAGCTAGACCCCTGCGATTCGTACATTTATTGACAATGCAAAGTTCTGTGATGTGTGCTCAGCGTTACCTTGTAGAGATTGGTCTGGTTGCTGTAGGTGCCGGCCGGGCAGGCGCTCCAGTCCAGTCCGGTGCCGTTGGTACAGAAGTAGCCAGTGGGGCAGTCCGCGATGCCCGGTTTCAGGTCCGGATTGCCGACGGTCTCGTTCTCAGGTAGACAGTAGAAGCTGAAAAAGACACGATACAGACATTCGAAGAAGCAGCTCATAAAGATGGAAGCTTTGGGCAACATATTTGAGCAATGACCACTTGTCAGCCCCTCCTCAAATTTGCCTACAGTATCCAGAATATATTTCGTACATGGGTTACCAGGGAAAATTAATCCAAGGTAACAATGGATGTCACTCAAACTTGCTCTTCAACAATCCAATGGAGCACTGACTACTACGAACAGGGGCTACATTAAGTTGGCACTGTGCGCAATTATGAAGTAAGTGGTAAAAATGTACAATACTTTTAGGGCCACTTTTACCAGGCTTTTCTAGGCTACAGTGCACTCCTCTTATGCAAGGAAAGCTAAAAATTGTGCCCATTCAGTTGAAAAATTTGGCCGAGTACACTTTGCATCAAAGCAGGACAATGACACGTCACACTGTCACCGACAGAAATAAGAGAGACAGAGGCCAATGAACTTACCCTCTGGGACATATCTTGCATTCATACTGTGTGGTCCTGTCGGTGTAGAAGCCGGACGGACAGGCCTTGGGGTCCGGAGAGCCTTCAGGGCAGTGCAGGCCGATGGGACACTCAATGGGATTGGGAACGCTAGACCCTAAGAATAAAAAATAAACAACAGTTGCAGAAGCTGAGGACCAAACAGCGGCTACAGACAACCCTCACTATCAAACCTGAATGCGCCATGTTTCATGCCTAGACAACCCTTGCTATCAAACCTGAATGCGCCATGTTTCATGCCTAGACAACCCTCGCTATCAAACCTTAATGCGCCATGTTTCATGCCTAGACAACCTTCGCTATCAAACCTGAATGCACCACATTTCA